TTGGACGAGATCCGCCATATTCTCACTGAGCGCGATATCTTGACGGCCGCCAAGAGCGACTGGTTGGTCAAGCTGCTGTACGCGTTCCAGGATGACGACCAGATCTACCTGGCAATGGAGTATGTGCCGGGAGGTGACTTTCGCACGCTGCTGAATAACACCGGAGTCTTGCACAATCGCCATGCTCGGTTCTATATTGCAGAGATGTTCAGCTGTATCGATGCGTTGCATGCGTTGGGATACATTCACCGCGATTTGAAGCCAGAAAACTTTCTCATTGACTCAAGTGGTCACGTCAAGCTGACTGACTTTGGCCTGGCCGCGGGTATGCTAAACCCTGGCAAGATTGAGTCCATGCGGGTGAAGCTGGAGGAGGTTGGCAACACGCCGGTGCCGTTCGGTCGCCCCATGGAACAGCGCACGGTGGCAGAGCGTCGCCAGGGCTATCGGTCGCTGCGAGAGCGCCAGGTCAACTACGCCAAGTCGATTGTTGGGTCGCCCGACTACATGGCACCCGAAGTGCTCAAGGGCGAGCAGTATGATTTTACGGTCGACTACTGGAGTTTGGGATGCATGCTCTTCGAGGCCCTCGCCGGATACCCGCCGTTTGCCGGCGCGACGGTGGACGAGACGTGGCAGAACCTGAAGAACTGGCAAAAGGTGCTCCGCAAGCCGGTGTACGAAGACCCGAACTACTTCCTGTCGCGACGCACGTGGGACCTCATCACCAAGCTGGTGGCATCAAAGGAGAAGCGGTTCAAGAACATCCAAGAGATCCACGCGCACGACTACTTCAGCGAGGTGGATTTTACCCATCTGCGCGAGCAGCGTGCGCCGTTTGTGCCCGAGCTGGATTCGGAGACAGACGCGGGCTACTTTGACGACTTTACCAACGAAGCGGACATGGCCAAGTACAAGGAGGTTCACGACAAGCAACGCGCGCTGGAAGAGATGGCGGAGCGTGATGATAAGATGAGCAAGGGATTATTTGTTGGATTTACATTCCGGTAGGCTTCCCCATCAACTGCGTATCTGTAATTATGCTAACAGCACCAGACACCGCAAGCCGGCCATGGACGGGCTAGGCCGCGGCTCACCGCGCAAACCGATCGCGACGGACGGATCATTCGGAACGATGTTTTAGGCTGCATGAATGACGGGAGTTCTATTCGGGCACGAGCTGGATCTCGAGGATTGTTTTAGCGAGTACTTTTAATGGAACGGATACGAAATGGGAGGGTTAAGAGAAAGGAGTTGTGTATGATACAGCTATCGTAGACCTGCATGAGTTGCAGTATACTAGAATCAGAATAGTTCAATCCCTTCACTCCAACTCCTGCACCATTTTCAGAATCTCCGACTCATTATCCCCAACCACAGCCTGTCCTTTCGTCCAGTCGACTGTCTACACACCAACCCGTTAGCTATGATGCTCAATCCATGACACCAACACAATCCCAACCATTCCGAAAGAAAAAAATGAAATTGACTTACAATAGGTCTCACAAAACTCCCTTCGGGATCCGCCTTAAACCTCTTAATCGCATCCTCCGCATCCCTCGCCCCCCTCACCACCTCGCCCACACCATACACCTTCCCAATCCCAGCACCACTCCCCGTGTTACTTCCCGATACATACTCGAGAATATTCCGCAATTGGTCATTCGTCGGCGGCGCAGTGCTCACCTCCAGCTGGAATTCGCCCCGCGGAGTGCCTGTCGTGCTTGCGGCTGTTGTGGAGGCGCGTTGGAGGATGCTGAGGGCGGATTTGCTGGAGGGGAGGTGGGGGGCGTGGAAGAGGGTTATTGGGTCGAGGGTTTTTGCCTATATTATTTTCCCCCGGGGGTTAGTGAGGGATTTGGGGGGATATGGGGGAGGTGAGGGATTGGGGGGATGAAGACGTACGAAGCGGAAGACCATTTTGGGATTGAATTGGGTGTATGTATGTATGTATGTATGTATGTATGTTTGTATGTAAGTAGATGGTGGATGGTAGGTAGGTGATAAGGTTGTGGTTGATGATATTGGCAGCAGGGGTCTGGTCTGATGGAGATAATTGGAGTGGTTGGTGAGAGGTCTGTCTGATTACGTCATATGGGTTGACTCACCGGAGCTAACGTTAGTTACGCCGTATGGAGAGGGTGTAAGGGAAGTGTTTTGGTTGCCTGTTTGGGTGCCCGACTTTTTGAATTTCTTTTCATTTTTTTTATGAAGAGGCTGAACAGGGGATTATTCCTTTTTTTTTTTTTTTTTTTTTTTTTTTTTTCTCAATGTGGGATGGTAAAGATTCGATTTAATCAGATTCAATGGTAGAAGTAGACTGCGTAATTGGTTTGATATCAATATTGTTAGAAGTGATTAGGGTATCATATCATCTAATTAAAACATATGCTATTTACTTTGTGTGCTGCTACCACCCAAATTGCTCAACATGCAGGTATATTCCCTGCGCCCCCGTCCCCTTATGTACTGCTCGCTCATCACTCAGACACACCACGCTGCGTCGCACGTCGTCGGACAACCCCCTCGGTCCACACACCACTACCGCGCTCTCGCCCTCTGCTTTCTCGAGGACCTTGCGGATGATCGTGCGCGCGTGCGGTCGACCAGACAGGACTGTAAGATTGGGCAGCGGTTTCTGCGTTGGCTTCGAGTCTGATCCTGTTGCAAGCTCGCTGGTAGACTGCGGTGCGGCATGCCCGGAGCATGTACAGGTTGTAGCGTCGATGGCATCTTCATCTTTGATGGGCACTGTGCAGCAGCATTTTCCGTCAGGTTGACAGCCAGACTGCTCCACAGATTCTATGGCTACAGCGTCGGTCGCTGCTTTCTCCGCTTCGAGGGATTTCTCGTTCGCAGGTAAGCTTGACTGCAGCTGGAACAACGACTGTTCCTGGGCGCAAAGCGTGTTCTGCGCCTGCTCTAGCTTCTCGTCACAAGTAATGTAGATGCTCATCTCGATTTCCCGAATGACGTCCGGATTGGCGAGCCGGACTTCCTCAACATCCCTCAGCACCTCTTGCAACTGGCGGTCGAACCAGCTCAGCTGCGTGCGCGATTTGATCACCCAGACGAATCGGACCCGCTTGGTTGCTGCAAGCCGCGCTGTGCTTTCAGCCTTCCACTTGGCGACTATATCCCGCAGGCAAGGCACGGTGAATGTCGCCCCCATGCCGCCGGCGAGTAGGATCACACTGTCAAATTGCTTCAGAGGCCGCATTTGTCCATACGGTCCCTCGATGAAGACTGTACGTGCCTGCTTCACAGCCACCTGGTCACTAGCCCCAAGCACCTGGTGGTTCTTCGATGCATATCGGAAAAAGCGTCGAGTGCCGCCCTTCTCTGCGCGCACGTACATCACCATCTTGTTGTCTTCTGGTATGGACGCAATGGTGAAGGGGTGGCTCTGCAGAGGCACAATGGAGTGGCATGTGAGAAACACATGTTGACCCGGCTTCCACCCGACTCCAGGATTCTCAATCGCTATACGAGTTACATTGCCTGGCAACGGGGTGAAAGTCGCCCGATTCGCCCAGAGAGCATGAGCCGGGCTCTTGGAACGATGGAAAATCGACAAGTTCGCATAGGTCGCCCACAAGTAGCGCGCCACCCGATCAAAGACAAGAAACCCGATGGGAATCCACACCCACACTTTGACTTCTGCCGGTGCATGAAGCCACACGGCAACGATGAAACCAACAAACGTCACCAGATGCTGTAAAACAAAAAACTCGTACCCGAGCCGTCGAATCGGTGCAGCGGACGTGATGACAATGAAGGTCAAAATAATCCAAGCGGCGAACCCTCTCGTTGCCAGGGTGTAGTTCTTCAGCTCGTAGACGATGTAGTTATAACGGCCCCAATCACGAAACCAAAAGCACATGTGGATTGTAGCGGTCAGCCACAGCGTCCGCGCGATCCACCGATGGAACCAATTAAGACGCTCGTAGCTCATACCTACGAGCATACCAATGAGGTTTTGCCTGCCTGCCAACAGGAAAATCAACGGCAGCTGGCAGATAGCAATGAACCCAGTGCGGTAGCCCACATCTTCCCATTTCCACTGGTCGGCCGTGTCCAGCTTGTAGAAACAAAAGACGAGCACAACGATGAGGTTTGCCAGGATGATAGCCACAGGGCCCAGCGGCGCAAAGTGATAGAAGTGGCCCCGGAATGACAACGGGGGCAAGGTTGCATAGCTGGCTTCACGCACGATGGCTGTTAAGGTGGCATATGTGCTGAAGAAGATAGACTTGGGCTTGGAGGGAGTCAAGGACGAGTCCTTTAACCTGATGGAATGAGCATACGTTATTTCGATAAACAATGGAGCTTACCTTTGGTAGGCGAGGAAACGATTCAGGATATTAATGACTGTTCCAGCAGCGATGGCACTTCCTACAACAACCCAGTACATCTTCTGCAGATAGAACAGACCAGGCACGCCATCTCCCATGGACATGTGGCCCATGCCAGACATGGACATGTCCATCTTGCAGGTATGTAGACTAGTAGTATCCGGATTAGGGTATAAAGAAAGAGAACTCAGTATATACTAGAAATGAAAGAAATTGTATTCAAGCATGATGGTAGAAGAAATGCACGATGTACATATCGCGGGGAACGAAAGAGGAGAAAGCAAATGACAATTAGGCGAAAACGAGCGACTAAGGGTCCAAGATCGAATCCGATGCCAATACTGCCTATCTACTGTAGTCAGTCATATTGAGTATAATTGAGAGAAAATGAGAGGGAATCATAGTCAAAGCGACTCAGTGAGTAGTAATAATCTGCTCAATCCCCACCTGCTAATCCGGCCATGCTTTCGGACGGGCCTTGAGCTCTGCAGCTTCTGATTGGCTCCCGCAGCCAAAATGTGCTCAAATGCCGCCCAAACGTGCTCTAGCGCCATCGGCCGCTTACCTGGCGGGTCCGCGAGTTTTCGGGGTCCTTGAAAGATGCGGAAAATCACCGGATGTGACAGCCATGGCCCGCTTTTCTATGTCTTCATTAACATTTCATTCCTCTTTTTCCTTCTTCCTTTTCCCAATCCCGTCATATAAAGTATCTTGTACATAGGGCTGGTGCTTTGACATCTTTAAATATATCAATTTTCCCACATTCCAGTTCATACCTCCTACCCGAACCGTCCATACCAAACACCACCCTAATCCTACTCTACTCCACTCACACTACATCTCGACTTACCAACAATGGACATGAGCTCAATGACCGGTATGGACATGGGAACCACCTCCACTACCATGTCCGGCATGTCAATGGCTACCTCCACCGCGTCGTCCACAATGGACATGTCTATGGGCTCCTCCACCTCTACCTCCATGTCTATGCCCATGTCCACCTCTTCCTCTTCCTCTTCTTCTATGTCCATGTCCATGTCAATGGTCTTCATGAACGCCCACGACACCCCCCTCTTCTCCAACCAATGGACCCCGTCCTCCAGCGGCACCTACGCCGGCACCTGCATCTTCCTCATCGTCCTCGCCATCATCTCCCGCTGTCTGGCCGCCTTCAAAGCCCTCCTGGAACGCCGCTGGCTCGACGCCCACGTCAACCGTCGCTATATCGCCGTCGCAGGGAAATCCACCGAAGCAGGTCGCATTGACGCTGATCCCGAATCCAAAGAAGCCAGTCTCATCACAGCCCAAGGGGTCGAGGAGAAAGTCAAAGTCATCCACAAAGCAGCCCGCGAACCTCTCCCTTGGCGATTCAGCACAGATCTCCCTCGCGCGCTGCTTTTTCTGGTCATCACCGGTGTTTCTTACCTACTGTATGTTCCCCTTTACCTCACCTCCACAAATATCGAACACATACTAATACAACAATCACAGGATGTTGGCCGTCATGACCATGAACATCGGATACTTCTGCTCCGTCCTAGCCGGTGCCTTCCTGGGCGAACTTGCCGTGGGACGCTTCATCCAGTGGAACGAGCATGAACATTAGTCCTACTCACATACATATATACATACATACATGTCCATTTCGGGTTCCTCGAACATAACGACTTCTATTTCGCACGGTGTTCTCGGTTCGGGTGTTCGGTGCTGGTCTAGCCTTGCATTGCATTGCATTGCATTCATTTCAATAATTTTGGGATAGCGAGTGTGGTACATGTGCACTTTTGACTTTTTGGTTGTTTGTCAGATACCACTTTTCGCTTATTGGTCTCTTGGATCTCTGCTCTGTGTCGCTTTTTTGCCCTGATACCATTACAGTCGAGGGTGTGTGATTAGCTTAGACTTCAGTACATAGAGATAATGTCTGGGGAGGTTTTGGACTGTGTCGGCATAATAACATGGTTTCGGTCAAAAGACATCACATGCCTGGGTATACCAAGTACATAATCCCTGTAGGCTTTGCAGGTTACAGTGGACTATTGGCCTCACGCGTGGTGTGATCGGCTGTAGGTTGTCCCCCTCTTATTGGTGCGGACGGGACCACACGGACGGCGCGGGCAGGATCCATGCCACTAACCGCGAATGGCAATTGATACGCTGCAGTGTCTTTAAATGTTGATGATTGGAAATCCATCCGTAAAGATACTGACTACTTACTTTCTATCGACAATTTGTAGTAATACGCAGGCTTCAAACTATTGGTACCCGGATCTCTATCAATTGCAACCTCAAAAGCACTGGTCGGCCGTGTCAGCAATCCCGCCTGAGCGTACGTATCGTCGATCGCCTCCATCTGCGCAATGCTCTCCTCACCGTCGATCCACACCCCGGAGCCCGCACGACCCTTGATCCGATTGACAAACTCTTCTAGTTGGCAGCGCCAGGTAGTCCACCATTCCTTATAGGTCTGCGCTCGTACATCGCCCGCTGGCCAGTTGTATGCTTTGGCATACTCCATCACATCCCACGTCTTCACAACCTCTTCCCCTCGGCGGAGAGTATGTGTATCGCAAATATCGATCCGGTGGTAGACCGTTGGAATGAGGTGATTCCACAACGTTACTTTCCTTCTGACAAAGTGGCGTACTTCATCGTTTTGTCCATTAAGCAGTATCTCTCCTGTTCTTGCTTCAGTCTTGGGCCATTTGAATGACGGCAGGGAATGAGACCATGCCGCCGGAAGAAACGAAAACCCTCCTCCAAATAACAGATCACCCCTGATTTCTGCGGTCTTGTCACTGTCTGTAGCGTAGGTAGCTTTTATTGCCGCGTCAATCTGTGGCTCCGGCTGATATCCATCTGATGCAACAGGCAAGGGGCGATGCAGTGCTTCAATGGGATTGAGATGCTCCCCTCTACCCAGCACCTGCCGCACGCAGGAGAGAGGATACGTTGCTAGGTCCATGAGACAGCCACCTGACAAGCCATAGTGGAAGCGGATGTCGTCCATTTCCAAATACCCTTTGGGAAGATACTGTTGGGAATAGACATGCTCTACAGTCGCGCCCCAGGGAAGGTGATTAACTTGGTAGAGAAAAGCCTGCCAGGCTGGGTGAAATTGATAGTGGAAAGCTTCAAGAAGAACCGGGGCATTCGGCGCAGTCACTAATGGATGTCTGAAGAGTGACCTTGCCTCATCGGCATTCGAACAGGACGGCTTCTCAAGAAGAACATGCTTTCTTGCTTGTATGGAGCGCAGGGCCCACTCAAAGTGTAGGGAATTCGGCAGAGCAATATAGACTGCGTCGATGGCTGGATCGCTCAGAAGTTCTGACACGTGCATTAAGACCCATCCATGCTCCGTCAAGTTCAATCCAGTTGTGGAGAATCTCACCTTGATAAGTATTATGGACGATCGGAATGCTGTACTTCTCGGCGTACTGACGGGCGCGCTCGGGATCTCGAGCAGCGACCGCTGCCACGATGACTTCCGGGTGCGACAAGGCGGGTAAAATTATGGCCAGGGGACTAGAGCAGACATAAATCAAATAGCCTGCAAGTCTGTGCTTCATCAACTCACGCTATGGAGGATGCTCCAAGCAGTCCTATTCTGATGGCGTCATCCCTCTTCCTCGGGGTGGGCGAGCTAACTGCCGCATAGTAAAATCGCTTCAAGAAATCGAAGAATAACATACTGAATAAGTGCTGGGGATTGCTGAAGTTTAGTTAGATTTCTGTAAGACTAGTAGATATGCACTGTGGCAATGGCACGTAAAGGTAGCACGGACAACACTTTGTTGTATGAGGCGGGTGCTTCCCGCCATCAGTTGTTCTGGACTGCATCGCCAGACAGCAGGTGACTTCCGCATTTGATGCGGTCCGTCTGTTTCTCTCATTTATTTATTTGAGAAGCTGCTGATGGGTCTCCTTCCAATACGCACAGTATCAACATAGTGCTCTCCTAAAATGAGTGTATGGTATCGAAACGCAATATTACTCATAGTTATAGATTGCAATGGTAGTCTTCATGTCAAACTCGCCAGATTATCTTGGATCTAGAATCATGCAATCCCTCCTGTGGTCGACACAGCCGAGTTCGCGCAAAGGAACTGTTTGACAGATGAATTTATCTTAATGTGACTCAGTGGAGGAAGTAAGATGTGCCTAGAAAGACGAGCGGGGTACCATTCCGTCCCTTGGTTATCTAGTGCCCTCAAACTGACACTGAAACCATCTACTTGTAAGTTGACACCGTATAACCACGTTTATTCACAACATAGTCCCCCATGTCTTATATCCGAGGGTATAGACACGAGCTCAGGCACAATGGACAGGCTTGGCAATCCCCCACATGGCGGACTTGAACCGGGGAACTTCACCGGATTTGCCAGTCTTGAGAAGAAATGAGCACATTTCCTAACCCAATCAGCCCTAGTGCTGCTAGGACTCACTGCAGGGTCCCTGGAGCTCCAGCTTCTCAGTGGCACAAAACAACATCCAAGATTCATGTTACTAAGTAGTGACTAGTATCAGGTTAATCGGCTTTGGTCCCTTCTGCGGGAATAATACTCGCTCATCCTGTAATTACCTCGCTTAACCCTGTACAATCCCGGTCCTGCCGTAGAATTTCATTATAATCAGCTCTTACCCGCTCAAAGCATGTCTTGCATAACTATAAAACTATCGAGGGTCCCTGTGTAATATCTATCTCACGTCATTTCCGCTCTTCAAACCGCCGATCCCTCAATCCTCAACACCATGAAGCTCCCTATCCTCTACCTGGCGTCTCTTGCGCCCTTGGTCGCCGCCCACTTCGAGCTCAAGTATCCTACCAGCCGTGATGGATCTGAAGAGCAGATGACCCAATTCCCCTGCGGCGGAGCTGCCCAGTCCAGCAATCGTACGCAGGTCTCTATTTCCGCCGGTTCTTTCCCCGTCGCATTGTCCATGGGTCACTCCCAGACTGCTGTCGAGGTTCTCCTGGCGCTGGGTTCCGACCCCGGAACCAACTACAACATTACCCTTCATCAGACCTTTGAAATCCAGGGATTGGGTGCTTTCTGCCTTCCGCACATCAAGTTCGATGAATCCATTCTTGGCACCAACATCACCGATGGAATGAACGCAACTGTGCAGGTCCAGAGCAATGGTGATCCCACCGGAGGTCTCTACGCTGTATGTTGCCCTGTCAATCATTATGTGTGAGTAGATGCTAACCTCGCCCAGTGCGCCGACATTCAATTCTCCTCCACCGTCTCCTACGAAGAACCATCCTCCTGCTCGAACAACACCGGTGTGACTGCTGTGGCTTTCACTGGAGCTGCGGCAGAGCGCAACGCCAATGAATCCACTTCCTCTGGAGAAGCGCAGAGCAGCTCCTCTTCTAGCACCTCTTCGGGAAGCTCAAGCGCTGCTACCTCTACTGGCGGTGCTGTTGCTTTGGAGACTGCTGCGTGGGGTATGCTAGGTGCTGCAGTTGTTGGTGGAATGGCTCTGTTGTAAGAGTAGTCCAATGCACAACTGTCTATGTTGCATTAGGCGACTCGGTACACCAGAAGATAACCTTGGCTCGCACTCGCTTTGTCTTCTCATGTTTATTCTTCTAGGGCTCAGGGTCTACCAGAATAACATTGTTTATTCGGACTTCTGGAATGTCCCTTACCGACAACCCATTGTCTTCGGTTACATCCTGTGGCGGCACGTCCTTGGTATGTGCTCAGGCTCATCATTCATGTATAGAAAGTTGGAGCCATGTATTATGGTCACTAGTACTTCTCAACCCGCCCTTGGCTATACATTCTCGGATTCCAAACTCATCTTGTTGGGATGGAAGTGCAGCATACCTTTTATGATTCATGAATACCCATTGTAATTAGCGAGAATCAATCAAAAGCCCTTGAAATTATGTGAATATTAGGAGTATATGTATCGTGTTGTAGTCGAACCTGCGTTTAAGCATGCGCATCCCAATAGTCAATTTTTCCAATACTAGACGAGTTCTGAACCCACCACGCCCTGAACTCCAGATTGACCCCTTTGCTGTTCTATTTATTTATTTTTCCTTTGAGGTGGACCGCGCGCCTCAGGTTCTATGGAGATATGTTTGTATTGATCTTACTCCAGAGTACAGGTGTAATGCTCTTACTTTCGGCCCCAATGATACGCAACGTGGTACTAGGAGTGACTTCATATCCAGCCAGCGCTGATCTGGTGACTATAATATCACAAGATATACTTCCCCTCATTATTGAGCTACTTTCGAGAAGATCCTCAGCTAATCAATATCAATCTACGCAATCCCACTATATAGGGGTCCGAAGGGGTGCGTAGAGGGATATGGGATTTTTTTTCTCTTTTCTTTGGAAATATGATAGTTAATGGGTTTAAAAATTACTAAAATTTGATTCCATCTCTTGATCATTGCCGTATAGTTACATAAATATGGGATATTAGGATATTAGTGGAAATCGATTACTTGGAGGTTGGTAACCGTTACCCTTCGATAGTAATTGTTTTTGACCCACGAAGATCTGATGTAAACCCAGTTTATGGATTTTTCGTAGTGGTTTCCTGATAATGAGCAAGCAGACACTATCAGTCTTATTCATGTCCAGTAAGCGTCAAATAATCGAATGAATATCGTAATTGTCTTCACTTGAGTAATATATAACTTTATACTAACCCTGTCTACTCACGACGGGAAACTGGGTAGCACTACACAGTACTACAAGTCATCGTCCACCCCTGGAACAATCTTCATAATACGAATGCTAATATAGCGGATACCCTATTTATGATCCACAAAACAGATATATCCATTAGTAGCCGTCGTTAATAAGCTGTTCGCGATCAAGAATCCCATCATCGATAAGCAGCCAATCTCCGCAGGCGGTAGGACAACATCCTCGGCAGAATCGCGGGGAGAGGCTGTCCGCTCGGCATAATCCATGGCTCTCTTCCACTGTTTCCATCCTTTAAACACGAACCTTTGTGTACGGTGTCTCATCTAACCAAGGGTGATAACTTCAAGATGACTACACGCACCCCCTTTATTGTTCCGGCACTGAAGAAGCACACCGCGACGGTGATCATGGCCCACGGTTTGGGCGACAGGTTGGTCCCTAGCATACGGCGCTCTAAATGATTTACAACTGGCTAACTTTATCCTGTCAACAGTGGTGCTGGATGGTACGTAAATCGAGATTATTCCCTACATGAAAGACGGGAGCTACTCCTTCGAAACGAGACCTGTCATAACTGAACCGAAATAGGATGGCTCTCGCCCAGAACTGGCGCCGCCGCGGCATGTTCGACGAAGTCGCCTTCATCTTCCCCAACGCCCCTATGATCCCTATCACAGTGGTATGCGGTGACTGTCACCTACGGAGCTCTGGGGATATTGGACTAAGTTGACGGGTAATAGAACTTTGGAATGTCCATGCCGGGATGGTACGACATCTCCAAGCTGGGTCGTGACGTGAGTGGTGCATCCACATTTATAATCCCGGGGTAAAGAGATTAATGGCTGTATAGTTGGATTTCGAAGAAGCCATCCGCCACCAGGACGAACCGGGCGTCCTCCGTTCCCGTGAATACTTCAACTCCCTCATCAAGGAGCAGATCGACAAGGGTATCAAGCCCTCCCGCATTGTCCTCGGAGGCTTCTCGCAAGGTGGAGCGATGTCCTTGTTTGCGGGTCTCACAAGCACGGAGAAGCTTGGTGGTGTCTTTGGTCTTTCTTGCTACTTGTTGCTGCATGACCGGATCAAGAACTTCCTCCCCGAAAACTGGCCGAACAAGCAGACGCCCTTCTTCATCGCACATGGCGAGGAGGACGAGGTGGTCAAGTTTGATTTCGGTAAGCAGTCGGCCAAGATGGTTCAGGAGTTGGGTGTCGAGGATGTCGAGTTCCATTCTTACTCGTGAGTGTTCTGTTCGCTTTCATTTTTGCTGAAATGGCTTGCTTATACTTGGGCAGTGATCTCGGCCACTCTGCCGATCCCGAGGAGATCGAAGATTTGACAAGGTTCCTTCAGAAGGCTATTCCTCCGGAGGAGGGTCAGTCGGCCGCCGGATTATGACTTGGTGACGCCAGATCCGTGCCTGCTGCACCGTCTATAGGTGCTAGAATCATATACAGCATTTTCCTAGGCATCGTTATATGGAGAATTGCGGTTATGCTGTTGGGGATCATCTCGGGAAAGAAACGGGATGCGCCGATAAAGCAGGATTGAACATACAATTAGCTTGAATACATAATAGATCAAGATGCATGAAATGACGAAATCTAGTAACCATCTATTCATCGCTCGTAATCGAATATTCCACCCACATTTACTCTCCCCTTAAAGCCTTCTGAACCGCAGCCTCAATAGCAGCCACCATAGCATTAGTATTCTCCACATCAAACGGCACCATATGCTTCGACCCGTGATCATGGAAACTCATTTTGCTCGGCTCACACAGCCTGGACAAATGCATACTAGAGGGATACAGCTCATCCTGCTTTCCCACAATATTCGCTGTGGGGATCTTGACCGGATACTCGCCCTCAGCCGAAGTGTCAGGAATGACCTCATTCCCCGTGCTGTCAAACGGTGCAGCACCGCAGATAAACACGGCGACCTTGAACAGAGGCTCTTGATGCGTCTTCGCATGGTGTACAATCATGGCGCATGCCAGGGCAGCACCTTGTGAGAATCCCATGACGGCGTCGAAAGGACCCTCACGCTCGATGATATCGTAGACGTGCTTCATTGCGGGGGCGAGATATTCGCCCGGTGCCCGGTCACGGGGATAGTGGTTGTAAAAGGGGCCATTAAAGAGGCCCTTTAGCTCTATTCAAAGTGTTAGCTAGTCATCACATACGTCTCCAAATATACTCCGAATCTGTTCTTTGGTGTGGAGGGCGGGGGTGATGTACGAGGCTCAACTTCGGCTTCCATGCAGCCATCGTAGTATTTGAATGTATGGCCATATTTAGCGAGGTCGTAGGAGATGCCACCTGATTGCGATACAAGTTAGATTGGCAATCATGGTCTGGCGGAATGGACTGTTGTTCAAGTACCGGATTGGATCTCGAAGATCTATTGTTTTTGTTCCAACGGTTAGATTTGGATGGCGGGGAAGCGGAGATAAGTCAAAGGAAGAGATGCCCGCCAGCAGGGAAGATGCTTGCTTACTTCGGCGTTGGTACCTGCGCCGTGGAGACAAAGGAAGCGCATCTTGAATGGTTGTCTTGTGAAGGAGGTTCTTTTTGTGTCACTTCTTTCTGAAAAGATATGATCCTGGGCAACAATTGCTGACAAGAGAAGAAGATGAGGAAATGTGTTGAATACTAAACTAGACTACGCCTTCCGACCGTCAGCTGAAGCACTGGCCTGCCACTATGCCACTAACGTAAGACAAACTCTCAGCCTTCTCCATCTACTCCTGGACTATCTCATCTGTCTCTGCATTTCTTCAGTTGTCATCCTGTCCGACCTAGGCTATGCATCCTTCTCGGCTATTTACAAGACAATTGCTCGTCCTACTTCCTACATGCAACATGTGAGATGTCACAGTTCACGGAGTTTCCATTCATCGAAATGATCTCCGGCACCGAGGGCGGCGCCCGTGCCCCCTTCGAGACTGGTCTTGCTACCCTCTCCCCACTGTGACTTGAGTGGTTCTGCGCCTCTACAGTCTACGTGGTCTCGATAGCACTTACTGCTGCTCGCAATCAATGGCATCTGTCGTTAATTTCCTCTCAACTGTTCTCTCCCGCCCCGTGGAGTCCTACTGCAGCTTTGGTCCAACGGTGAGTGAAATCACCTTTGGACTGCTGGGGTACACCTTCAATCCGGAACGCGACATCAATGATCTATCAGGGAAGGTTGTCTTCGTCACTGGAGGTATGTGTTCTATATACCCTGGTCTCTCTATCGCAGTGCGCTAACTTCTCTGCTTGTCTCAGGCAATGCCGGTCTAGGGAAAGAAACCGTCCTCCAACTCGCTCGTCACCGCCCATCTCGCATCTACCTCGCTGCGCGGAATGCGACCAAAGCCGAAGACGCCATCGCTTCAATCCGGGAGCAGGTCCCATCCGCCGATATCAGACACATAGCCCTCGACCTGTCCTCATTCAAGTCGATCCGCGCCGCTGCCGAGCAGTTCACGTCAGAATGCGATCGCCTGGACCTCCTGGTTCTCAACGCCGGAATCATGAACTGCCCGCCCGCTCTGACAGAGGAAGGATTCGAGATTCAATTCGGAACAAATCATATTGGGCATTTCCTACTCACCCAGCTACTACTGCCCACGCTGCAACGAACGGTTGAACTTTCCAGGGATGTCCGAGTAGTAACATTGGCCTCTGCCGCGAATGTCGCCGCGCCTCCCTACGATGTCATGACCTCTACGCCGGCTTTAATAGCTGACCACACATTGACCCGGTACAGTGCCTCGAAGGCAGCGAATATCCTCTTTGCGTCGGAGCTGGCCCGTCGCCATCCGGAGATTCTGTCTGTCGCGGTACATCCCGGCTCCGTTGTGAGCGACCTATGGGACCATACAATCAAGACTGGTGTCGTAGCCAAGTACACTATCGGTGCCATCCTTGCGTTCAGTCGGAGCATACGGAGCGGAGCACTCAATCAGCTCTGGGCCGCCGGGGCGAGAAGAGAGCTGGTGACCAACGGGGCTTATTATGTTCCCATTGGGGTGCACGCTACGGGCAACCGGTACGCGAAGGACGCCGATATGGCACGGCGACTGTGGGAGTGGACTGAGCAGCAGATTGCAGAGAAATCGTAAACTTGTCCGGTTCCAATGATGGTTTGGTTCATCCCTGCGGGCATCTCCTGTAGTTAGAGATGTTCGACGGCTATTCTTTTCAGGATATGCGTGACCATGTTTGGAGACAGCCGTGGCTGTTATAATTGTATCAATTTCTTAAAACCTATAGAATAGCATGATGTGATAACCGACGGTGCTTCAGGGTCCGGATCGCGGGGTTGAAGACGGGTAGACTCGCAGATTACCGGATTGGGTATGAGATGCCGGAAAGCGGGTGGTGAGCGTCAATCCGGGCGAAAGCCATTGGTGGCACAATCTTGTCCCAAGGTGCCAAACAACCTCGCAAGAAAAAGAGACCAACCTGCTGCCCATGGAAAGAGAAAAAAAAGAAAAAAAAAGAACCCTTCAATCCAATGTCCCTGCCAATTCCACTATACCTTGATGACATCTGAAATGTTGCTGATCTCCCCCCATGGACGCCAGTCTAGAAAGTCAGCAGCGGCTGCGATCGTTAGGGTTTAGCCGAGGAGCCTCCCTGTCCAGATTCCTCGTTTCGCCCACAACCAACTTCATCCAGCACGTCCACGAAGTGCCTTTCCCATGAAAATTGTAGTCCCATAGTCAAAAAGGCACATAATATAACCATATCATAAAGAACAATATCTTTAAATTCTACTTAACGAGCTACACAGCGTAGAAAAATAATATCAATGTCGTAGAAGTACTGAGAACGTAAAGTCGGCTTTTGCATGCTCTGCTCCCCACACAAACCCGTCCGAAGCGCATCATCGAACTTGAACTATCCTCATCCTCATCCTCCCACCTCACCTCCCTCCTCTTCTTCTCTCTCCAGCACCAAATACTCCCCCCCATCATCTCCTTTAGGTACGTATTATAACCCCCCAATATTCCTCCCTCCAGAACCCGTTTTCCCCATCTGGACATTTCGAAAATACTTTGTCGCTTCTCCCACTCAACGACGAGTCATCCGCGAATCTTCTGTCCCGATTTTATTCGTTCCCAATTCCAGTTCGATCCGGTCGCGCGAATTCGACGCTCAAAAACGCTCCGCTCCCCTCTTCTTTACGCGAGAAATGACTCTGCACAAATTCCACAATACACATATCATACACTCAAAAATTAGGAAGATCGATCTCTGACGTCTTTGGATTTTTTTCCCCCTCTTTTACAGGTTGAAAGCACTCAAGCTTCAATACTCCCGTCAAAATGGATCAGGCAAAGTTGGCTAGAATGCAGCAGAGCGTGCGGATTGGTATGTACCACTTCTTTTCTCTTTAATTTCTTTTGTATATTTTGTCCATTGCTCCGTTCGCATCCAATTTATAATCAATATTCATGGGAGGGATTGTTGGTGGGGGAGAGAGTGTGTGAGTGAGTGAGTGAGCTACTATTTGGTGGTGTCATGGGATCCCGAACCGATTCGATTCTGCAAGGAACGAAAGAGGAAAGAGCAGGAGGAGCAAACAGGCTCGCTCGGAAGCTCAGGATTATTTCGGATTGATTGATAGTGCTGCGTGTTATTATTGTTTTTATACAAAAGTTATCATGAGGAACAGTTCAAGCTAACATAACCTTTCTCACTCTGACAGGGTACGTATAATGACACACATTCGCATCCCACGAAAGACACACCCACACATCACCACCCCAAAACCCGAACCCACGTCGATATCAGAACCCACGAATCGAAAACTAACAACCCAACAGAGGCAAGGGTACTCCCCGCCGCAAGGTCAAGAAGGTCCACAAGTCCTCCGGTGCCGACGACAAGAAGCTCCAGGCCACCCTGAAGAAGATGAACGTCCAGCCCATCCAGGCCATCGAGGAGGTTAACATGTTCAAGGAGGACGGAAACGTCATCCACTTTGGTGCTCCTAAGGGTATATCCATCCCCCAACCTCTCCTCTTGCCCTTTTACCCCAACCTATCACAGGAAGCAGCAGCATACTGAAATATTTATGATGGTATATAGTCCACGCCTCCGTCCCCTCCAACACCTTCGCCCTCTACGGCAACGGCGAGGAGAAGGAACTCACCGAGCTCGTCCCCGGTATCCTGAACCAGCTTGGCCCCGACAGCCTTGCTTCCCTCCGCAAGCTCGCCGAGAGCTACCAGAACATGCAGAAGAACCAGGCCGGCGCTGACGGCAAGAAGGACGATGAGGAGGATGATATCCCCGATCTCGTTGAGGGCGAGAACTTCGAGAGCAACGTCGAGTAAATTTATTAAAAATTTATTTTTATCCTTTTAACAAACCATCAGCTTGAATTTTATTTGAGAGGAATTGATATCATCTTCGTTGCCCTTGCCAACTTCCATATATTCGTTGTACGAACTACTGTCGGTATAATATTCCGTTTCTGGATTGGATGGATCCAATATTCAGAAGAAGGAGAATGAGGCTTGTGTATGTGCTACTTCTTTTTTTTGGCCCTGTGAGTGTGCGCGCTGAGCAGATTCGTTCTTCTTTTTCTTTTTCTTGCTTATGGTATTCACTATCCTTGAAAGAGCTTGGAGCTGGAGCTGGGGGCATGAGCTGTGGAGCCTATGATTATTGGTCTGGGAAGAGGTCAGTCGGCTTTTCTCATATAAAAAAGGAATGATTATACTTTTCTCAACTTCTGGGGATAAAGATGAGAGGGTTTCTAAGGAGGCCGTAACTTTCATGGTTCTTGTTGGGTCTGTGGAAGATAGTGTTACTATGCCAATTAGATGACTAGTCATGTAATTAGTGGGGAGGGGGGGTTGTAATGCAGAGATACATAGGCCATGACCTATCTATCCGTAATGATTGGACAATTATATCAATCGACGTTAATACTATTCGTAACCTCGACATCTCCTTCTATAATAAACGTGGTAACGATACCAAACACACTCGCTTTTTCATATGGTAAATAAAACACACCTCGCTGGAACAAACAACAAAATCAATGGGTATTGGTATACATGAAAGCATCATAAGATAAAAAGAAATGTCAAGATCAACACAGACAGACAGACAGCAAGCAAGCAAGCAAGCAACAGCAAAGACAGAAAAGTAAAGCTCATCTACTCTCCACCTGATTCATCGACGACCTCTTAGGAACAAACGGCGCCGAAGTCGGCTTCGACTTCCTCCTCTCATCCTTAACCCGTAGTCCTCGACTCAAACCACCCCCGAGACCCCGCGCAAGAGACGCAAACGGCGACGCAGCTTGCCAGTTATCCAGATCCTCTTCGTGCTGGCCGACACTAGCCACGATTTCACTGCCATGTTTCGAGGATCCGGATCCATCGGATGGCTTGGCGCGGTGTCGGTGGAGGGAGGTGTCGCTGCCGTGGGTGCTCGGGGAGGTCGGGTTAAGTTTCCACGGGTTCGTGGGGATGTTCGGGTCGATGTAGTCGGCACATTTACAGCCACAGCCGCTAGGGCAGAAGTGGTATTCTTCCTGGTCGGTGTCGGGTGCCATGGAGAACCAGCCTCGATGGCAGTCGAAGCAGCTGACGTGACCGCAGCCGAGACAGGGGATGAGCATGCCTTCGACGACTTCGCTGCAGATGATGCAGGGGAGTCGGAGAGGGAGGGGCTGTTTTGGTTTGCAGTGAGGGCAGGTGAGGGGAGGTGGTGTTATGCCCTTTATGTGGCTCTTGGGGATTGCTTCGGTGAGTGCTTTGGTTGCGAAGATGGAGTGCTGTAGGGCTTGGCCGCAGCTGATGCAGTGGCGTTGGATTTCTAGACCTTGGTTTTCGGTATCGGTGGGTGCGGCTGTTGAGCTGCGGCGCTTGGAGCTGGGGAGGGAGAACGAATCGTGGTGGCTTCTGTGGCGACGGTGTGTTGGCTCTTTGGTGGGATTGGGGGTCCCGCCGATCTTCAGCACTTCGCTACGTTGTACGGGCAGTCCCCATATAGAGAGCAGATGGGCGTATGCTGCGCGGTACGACCGGTATAGCCATTCTTTCTTGGGGTCGAGGAAAGTACTCTGCGATTGTCCGTTGCCCTCGAAAGCAGCTTGGTTCTTTAGGACTGCGCGAACCTTTGTCGACGGTTTGGCGGGAGTAGGTCGCTCGCTCTCCGTGTCAGAGTGGGTTTGTGACGTGAGCGCGGTGGAGGTAGTTAGATAGTCGGGAATGGCTGAGACTGGTTTCGCAGTAAAGGCACTCGTCACCCATACCCCTGGCCCTCCGACTGTGTTGGGGCTGCCGTTGGGATTGAAAACCTTCCGTGACAAGGCGGTTGCTGGAGGAGATGCTGACGAAGGGCCAAATGTAAGAGAGCGGGAAAGAGACGAGGCCAGAACAGAACCAATGCCGGAGCCGCTGCGTGGTTGGGATTGCTGGTCAGGTGAAGCAGCGATTGCTATGTTCTGGGTCCATGTCTTTCGGTCTGCTGCTAGGGGGCCGGCTCGAGTGGCTAGAGGAGGGGTCGTTCCTGTGGAATATGGCGGCGTGGAATCGGGACGCCAGATCTCAGATGAAGAGCGCCCAGAACTATGGGTAATGGGCGTTGCGTGGCTGTCCTTCGGTGTTGAAGCAAGCGGCACGGCCGTCTGCGGTTTGCTCTGCGTAACGGAGTTGGGGGAATGCAAATCAAATGAAAATGCATGCTCCTCCATCCGCCTGGAAACGGCCCGACTGACATGAGCGTGTTCTTTGGAGGCCTCGTCAATGTTGGCCTCGTGCAAAACACAAGATAGCATCGCGATCATTTGGACGTCGCCGATCTGTTCAAAATGTTCGAAGAGAGCAGGGATTAGCCACTGACCACCGAATGGATGGTCGCCCCATTGAATGACGGTATTCAGAAACCCTTTGTGACGTTGGTCCTGGCTTCCCATGTCGTTACTCAGATCCACAGCGCTATCCTTCCTTTGAATGTACGGTCTATCCAGGGTGTCAAAACCGGATGAAAACATTGAGCTCTTGCAGTTGTGCAAGATAAGCCTGACAAGTCCCCAAATCCGAGACAGCTCGTAATAACCGTGGTCGAGGGCTACAGCTGAATTATGTGCACAAACGTCCGTGACTTTGCCGCAGATACGATATTTGCTAGCCAGTTCCCGCTTGGCTGGTAGCAGATCACTGAAGTCGTGGATTGAGATGACATTTTGCGAGCCTTCAGATGACTTCGAGGTCATCGCACCAACGGTCGACCTTTGCGAATTATCTGTAGATCGCGGACGATAGAGTCCCAGACTGCCACCACTCCGCCATGTCTGGGGCGTTGGAAACCGGTGCTGAAGCCCTGACAAGATACCAGAAGACCCGGAGGAGCTTGACGACTCAGCGTCCGAATCGTCGGAATATTCAGAAGCGCCATCGTCAGTACTGGCCATTGTGACAGACGTCCGAGGCCCAGGTGAATTGGTCTGCAGACGACCAAAGCCTTCGAAAACCTTGTCCGCTCTGGATAACCTGGTCATTTCCTTAAACCCTAGGTTTTCAAGCCAATTGGACTTGTCTTTCCTAGATGGGAAGAAGCACACCAAGCGACCATCGTTGGCCCATAGTGCACCGCATCCCTTGGCTACCGGGACCATAACATTGGCATTGACCGGTCGAAGCAGTTCAGAACTCATGCCTAGATCTTGGCTTTGTGACAGGCCGACCTCATCTTCATCGCTGGACTCCTCACCCCCTAGTTGGCCGTTGATGGGAGACTTTACGGTTTCTGCCGTTTCCCCAAGAATCCATGCTATGCTTTCTTCCAAGGTACTCTCGCCCAAGAGGTAGCGAACGACCCCCTCGAGACATCCTCGTTTGTGAGCCAGGAAAGTCTCTGCAATCGTGCGAAGTTCAGCTATCAACTTGTCGGCAAGTTGGTCGGTGACAGCGGCAGTCTTCTGCACACTGAATGTGGGCATGGCATCTCGAGGGTAATCAACGGGGAATTTAATATCGACTTTCATGAAGATAGAGTCACCATCAGCACCCCATGGTCCGTGAAGGGATATAGTTGCCTTTCGTTGTCTGACATCGACCGATTCAAAAGCAACCTTGGTGAACTTTTCTCCGACATGGGTAATCTCGTCGCCCAGGGTCTCGATATCCCATCCGGATATTTTCACGCCACGCATCCATGAAATAGGATTAGTATCCGTGCGAACGTTTGTCCGACCCTGCATACCGATCCTAGAATCGGCGTTGGCCCCGCTCTGCGTCCATGCGCGAGCGTATGGGACCGAGATAGTATTCATGCCGGGATTACGAGACGTCTGAGGTGTGGAGCTCTGTCGAGTGGTGGGCGACAGCGAGTCCATATCTTCTTCCTCTTCATCGATAGGCGTATCCCGATATGACCTATACAGTGCGCCCTTGCGCGTGAGCTGCATATTGGAAACATAAGTCTTCCCTTTCTCAAAGCCAACCCTTTGCATAATATCCGGATCGACCCTGTGTAAGCGTAGTTCACGATCCGTGCCCCAAGACACCAGCTGGAACTCTCTATTGTCAATACCATCCTCTATCTCCCCGCGTGCTCTCCACAGAAACTCTTTCACCTGGCCTTTGTGTCCTAGGAAGCTGTGTACCAGAGGAAGCTCATCATTCGAAGTAGAACCCTCCCCAGCTCTCCGGCTATATAAGTGGAGATCACTGTTTCCTCTTTGTGGCATGGCCAAGACACCCCATCCAAATGGAGTATTCCTTGCTCGCCATACTGGAAACGGCGTCTTGATCACCTTCTCCGGCACCTCTGTGTCCACTGTATAGTCCCAGAATTTGATCGTCTTGTCGAGAGAGCACGTTACAAGAGCCCCTGGCCGTACCCTGTTCCAGTCCAGCCCATAAATCTTCGTGTTGTGTGCCTCAATAGACTTGATCGGATACGCGCCCATTCGCTTGTCCCATATCCGCAAGAACTTGTCGTGAGAACTGGCAATAACGTTGGGGTCCTGTCGGTTCCATTTAACCTGTGTTGCTCCAGCAAGCCAGTCAGAGAATGAAATAGCGGGACGGGAGGGTGTCCGCAGATCCCAGCAGTGGACGAAGCTATCAACGGCACACGTCGCGAGCATATCTGCATGGTGTGCGGAGAAGTTGATGTCTGTTATGGCTCGAGAGTGGGCGTGCAGAACGTGCTCAATCGAGCTTGGCGAGGATTTCATGCCCAGGTTCCATACCAACGCCTTCTGGTTTGATGTGCTAACGACCCAATAGTCTCGGGCAGCGAACGGGGACCATTGAACATCTGCAACCTCCCATGGTGTGTGGTGCGGAAGATACCTTGGCGGCGAATATGGCGAATCGAGATCGATGATGTGAAGACCTTCCTTGGAGGCTAGAACCACATCCCGTCCACAGGGCGAGATCGACATAGACCCAACAGGCTGCTCCACATGAAATGAGCTATCCTCCCCGAACGTTGGACTTTCGAAGGCCGACGTGAGGGGCCTGGGCTCGCTTTGGTCCACCATGTTGGCGTCGCCGGCTCCGGGCGTGAAAGGCTCCTTGGTTTCTGTGCTACCTCTTGGCTGCTATCCACGCCTTGGAGAAACGTTCAAACGGACTCAGAATTTCAGGAAGCACATTGGTGGAAGTATCGTTTGCGGTCATACACGGCGCTATCATATCGACCGCGTTTGTCATGGGCTTTTCATCAATTGCGTAGGAGGAACGGGTCTGTGGAATTGGCTGTGCGCATTGTGGAGGTCGTTACGGGGGGGCGGTCGAACTTGGAATTCCAGAGGCGCATGTACCGTATCTTCGATAGACCAATGATGGTGCGCTGATGAAACGGTAGTTAATAGGATGAGCAGGGAGAAAGATACACTACTTCAATTGGAATCTTGCCTGGGGAATTGAAGATACCCGAACCAAGGGCCTCAGACAGCAGCTGTGGACTCCGCAAAGTCCGGGGTTGGCGAGTTGCTTCCCGGCCGCAGTCTCCGATTCTGCACACTTGGTTCCTCCAGCCTCCAGTGCCCATTACGGCAGGCGGTGTATGCAACCTGCGCAGCCCCTCTGTCGGTTACGTCGTTCCATATCGAATCGAACTCCAGCCATAGGATCATCCCAGGTGGCTGTTGCTTCTACTCCCCGCGATCATCGCTAGAGGCTGCTGTCAAGTTCCGCCTGCTCCAAAGCTACGTGGGAGAGGTATCCGCTGCTTTCCGACTGCCAGAAATCTGCAGGAGAGCCGTAAGCCCCACCTTGAGCATAACCGTGAAATCGCGGGGTTGAACAGAACATTAAACGTTCTTAATTCACAGACTCGAAATGGCGTTGCCCAAGCGAATCATCAAGGAGACCGAGCGTCTCATGGCAGAGCCGTGAGTTATCCGGTTAACAAAAGAACCCTATCACAGTACAGATTGTTGACGCACGCCTGCAGAGTTCCTGGCATCAACGCCGTACCTCACGAAGATAACCTGCGTTACTTCGATGTCTCCATTCACGGACCGGCACAGTCTCCATACGAAGGTAAATAGAAAAGCATACATAGGCTGTTTGTATGGCTGTTGACTTCTTTCAAGGTGGCATTTTCCGCCTCGAGCTGTTCTTGCCAGAGGACTACCCGATGACTCCGCCCAAGATTCGCTTTTTGACCAAGATCTACCATCCCAACATTGACCGCCTGGGGCGGATTTGCTTGGACGTCTTGAAGAGTATGCAATATTACACCTCAACGTTGGAAGGAGGATACAAGAATTTAGGCTAACGTACGGCTAGATAACTGGTCTCCCGCTTTGCAAATTCGCACGATTCTTCTCTCCATCCAGGCTTTGCTGGGAGCCCCCAATCCTGACGACCCGCTTGCCAATGATGTTGCTCAGCGCTGGAAGGAGGACGAGCCAGCAGCGATACAGACTGCCAAGGAGTGGACTAGAACCCACGCGATGACTTAGATATGAAAGGCGGAAAGGGCTCCACCCGCTAAACAAACTGTAGGAGCAGCAATGTTGTGATGTGACCATGAGCAAAAGTACTGCGACATTCTGCCTTCCTGGCATTTTTTAGGATAGGCCTCGATTCTCCGGGACCTTTTCTTTCATACAATGAGAAGGCATCCATAGCCATCAACTCTGGTTCGTTTCCCCGCAAGTGCTCATGTATGGTTATAGAGCTGTGGCTCATTCCAGATGTGTGGTATAGGCATTTGCTTTGTTTCATCCGACTGCGATCTGTTTTTCGATTTCGATCTTAGAGATTCATTCCATAGAATTGCAATATACCTGTAGCAGATCGTCGACTTTGATTTAGTTCTACTGGCTCAACTGTCCTGGTGGTTTATTATGCACCTGGCTTGTAGTATACAATGATCCATGACTATCGATTTATATACCATAGCCTACCCAGTAACATGATACTGCTGAAATTATCTCTATCTTCCTGGCCTTGAAGGCATCTAGATGTGAATAGTATGGTCCTAGAGAAAATTAGCTAGGAGATTCACCATATTCATTACGGTACCAGAGTGAACAATCTCGAAGATTAACTCATATTAACACGTACTATCGTATAGCTTGGTTTTGCTTCCTTACGCTCCTTTATGCTCCCCCGTGCAGTTATTTTCAGGACCAGGAAGATACCGATATTCTGACTGCCGGCCTTATTCTACTATCAAGCGGTAAAAGATAGTTATTTAACCAAGCACTTCAAGCAAACTACTCACAGTGACCATCAACAACAGCACAATGAACAACGAGGACTATATGGACACCTCTGGAGAAGCAACGTATGTTTTCTCTTCTGATTGTATATCGCCAGCAGGATTGGAGGAAAAGAAGCCATGCTAGTTACTTTGATATATCTGACACCCACCATTCTAGAGACCAGCCTCACTCCTTTCAAGCAGAAAGCGAGGACCCGGATTCTAACCTCACTCAACTGACCGACGACATCACCAGCCAGCTCGCCAGAGCATTTCACATCACAGACCATCACGATGACCCGCTTTTCTTTCCAGCTTTGTTTACAAATCCTGTGAATATGACGGCAACAGAGCAGGATTTAAGGGAAGACCCCAATGCAATGTCCCTAGACTCTTCTCCCCAGACTCTGCACTCAGTGTTTGGAGCTGGTGCGAAGCCCAACACACAACAATCCCCTTCCACCAGTGCTGGTTCTCAAAAGATCAACAATACAACTGCTGCAGCTCGCAGCCTCGCAGGCATTCTGAAGAAGAACAAAGGCGCGAAGGCAGCGAAGAAAGTCCAGTTCGCAGCCTCTCCAGGAAAGGTAGTAAAGTGCTACAAATCTTCTCCAGGTGAGTATTCTCACTTTGGGTATATTTGGCTACCATGATAACAGCTGATACAGAGCATAAGAAGAGGGACTAAGCAATGGCTTCCTGGCTCCGTCCACTTAAGTCCGTCCTTGAGTACGTCTGGCCCCAGGAAAGACAGATCGCCAAGCAAGACAAGAAAGTCATTGTTTTCCGCCGCGCAAACCTCGTGGATAGGGAGAGTGACAAGGACAAGGACAAGGACGAAGAAGGTGCAGGCACGGACTACCACGATAGCTCTCCAGTTGGGCGCGCGAGCTCGATCGACGACCTGGTAGCATTTTACCCAAAGCCCATAACTATTAGCCTATACCTGCTGACAGGATGACAGGTTGATTACATTCGCCAGACCACAGCTTGTCCTCAGCAAACGCGCGACCCCAAGGAAGATTGGAAACGCAAGAGAAGTGGTGACACTAGGATTTGGGGATATAGAAACCCATGGTGCACCAAATGCTACGGGGAATGCCCTCTTTGCGGTTCCGCCTGTTGCGTGTACGAGGAACTGAGGCGCGCAGTCGCGGATGAGGGTTCAGATCCTCTAGTGGCACGAGACCGCAGACGGCTAATGGGCCTCATGGAGTCTGTGGGAGCCTACATCAAGGATGCGACCACGTTCTCCTTGTGTTCAACGCCAGGTTGCGGAAAGCATGTCTGCCCGTCCTGTTGCGGAATATGCCCGGACAAGAGTTGCCGAGACATACAGTGCAAGGTGAGCGGCGAATCTTACTCGTTTCTTTTCAAGTACTGCATGAGTCCGTGTTGACACCGATGCTGTTAGGAGTGCAAGGCAGATCCCTGGGCCGTATGCGACTGGCACGAGTAGTCAGCGGGGCGCCACGTTATGAAGCACGACAACATCATGACGAAGTTACGATAATATGCCGATGAAAATTCATCGTACAGCAGTCAGAGATGAAGTTCCAAAGGAAGCTCCAGATCTATTAGCCGTTGAAGGGTGGTATGGAGGTGGCAGTTCTGATGATATTAGGTCATTATCCGGAGGGAGAGAATAGCGAGCATTGGGGCCAATGTATGTATTATAAAGTCATCAATGCAAATATGCGACCATAATTCCAGTTAACTTTTCAAATTCAAATATTAAACTGTCAAAATACCAAGTAATACAACCTTAAAACCAACTCATCAAGCACATACATCCCGATCCCCAAGATCTGGAGAAGTTGAGGCGGCAGCCAACCAGCCAAGGGCAGGGGCGGTCACGTGGCACCGCTTAGCGAGGCTCCGCACCGCACCACAATTGTGTCAGTCTCACGAACAGCTCGCCGCAGAGACCGCTTCGACTCAACCACCCAACGCCAACCGACAACATCTCGTCTCGACCGGCTGCGCATCTCAGACGTTCAAGATGCGTACCTACGACGATTCTTTCAGCGGTCAGAAGATCTACCCTGGAAAGGTGCGTTTTGATGTCCCTTTCCCGCCAGCAACTTTCACAAAACGACCGGCCTCGAATATCGCCACGAAAACCTACATCTACACCAGACCCTTCACCAATACATAAAAAAAAAAATAAGGATATATCAAGTTGACGGTTGATTTTTGAAAAATTATAGGGTAAGCTGTACGTCCGTGGCGACAGCAAGATCTTCCGCTTCCAGAATGGAAAGTCCGAGTCCCTCTTCCTCCAGCGCAAGAACCCCCGCCGCATCGCCTGGACTGTCCTCTACCGTCGCCAGCACAAGAAGGGCATCTCTGAAGTCAGTACCCGCCACTCATCCCTTTGGATTCGTTGAGTTTGTTGTTTCGTTGTTTTGTTGCATTGGTTGGAAAGAGGAGGACCTACTGGAGTTATGCATATGTCATCGAATTACGACGCGAACATACATGACTATGTGATTGGATATGACGGTTGAATCTCGCTTTGATGATATACTGGATGGAATCAACTACAACCCAATGGTGGCAGTGGAGACTATCGCAACAACATCGAGGGAAGAAAGGGGGATGAGGATATAAGGTTCCATAAAAGGAGACCACATGCTGACCGGGACCCTTTTTTCCAAACCTACAGGAAGTTGCCAAGAAGCGCACTCGCCGTGCCGTCAAGAGCCAGCGTGCCATCGTTGGTGCCTCCCTCGACGTGATCAAGGAGCGCCGCGCTCAGCGCCCCGAGGCCCGTGCCGCCGCTCGCCAGCAGGCCATCAAGGACGCCAAGGAGAAGAAGGCCGCCAACGAGAGCCGCAAGCGTGCTGAGAAGGCCAAGGCCGCTGCCTCCGGCGCCAAGCCCGCTCAGCGCATCCAGAGCAAGCAGGGTGCTAAGGGCTCTGCCCCCAAGGTCGCTGCCAAGTCGCGCTAAAACGGATTAGAGGCGGTACTGGCTGTTGGGACTGGGATGAAAGTAAAAGGATAAGAAATGACAACACTTATGGGGGTGGGAATATGTTATGGACATAGGGAATTTGGGAGGTTATTCTAATCAAAAAAATAGAAACCCCCCACGAGGAAGCATTTTTTCTTTTTGCCTCATCAAAGATTTCTATTCTCCAAAAACATCATCAAACGAATTTCCTTGTTTTGTTCTTCCCTTGCGGCGTATGAGCGTTGGGTAAGGGGGATCAGATACTACTTCCTGTCCTTTTTGCTCCTTCCTCCTCGGATTTGAACCCAGTTTCTTATTCGTTTACTGCGCCGTTTTCTTCTCTCTCCCCCCCCCCCCCCCAAGTGGTATGTCTTTAAACTTATTACTTCCCCAGGAAAGGAATATGGAAATGGATGTGATATGATTACTTTCATTCTTCCCTTATCTACTTTGCATACCACTAGTAAAATCATACCCTGTAGTAGAAAGGCCCATGCGCAACATACATGATCTCATCGATGATCCTTCAAGATCATCCTTCATTAGGTCGGATACCCCGGGCCCCTATCACGTGAATCACCCTACCTTTGTAAATCTATAGGGCTCAGACCTAGACTAACCGTTTCCGGTACCATTCTTCAAGTCCTCACGCTATTAATGCCTCAGGCACAAAAAAGGCAGCAAGGGATAAAGTTGTATGCATGGCATATGTTATTCATATGTGAGTGAGAACGGTACCATGACAACCTATCAATTGCATATGAGTTTGTTTACTTATTTTGAGTACCACACTACCAATGGCCTTAATGTACCTATACTGTAATGTTCACTAAGGCTTCAATATGTAGCTATTTCCTCACTACCATAGGTCTAAGGGTTCATACTACTACTTCTATAGAGATAGTACTAGATCTCTCTAACGATGATGGCTGAATGAATGCCAGACAATAACTGACTGAATACCTGCAGTCATCCTGCAAATATATAATATGCATAATGCTGTATAAATCAACAACCATGAAACCATCGAACAATAAGTCCCGACCCAACCCGTATCTAGACATCTATCTATATGTAGTATACAACAACGACAACAACGCCCGAACATGATGACAATCAACAACCCCGAAACAACAGCCCGGAGATATCTTCAATTATGCATTACCACCACCTAGTAATAATGAGCCATCTCCAACCCAGCCCGCTTAAACCCACACTTGAGATAGAATCCCTCATTCGCCTCGGAGCAATCGAGAATACTCTGCACACGCACACACACCATTAGCATCGTCACCACGCCTCAGAATAGACTATTAAAAAGAGAAAAGATGAAGAACATACCTTATAGCACCCCACCTGCGCAGCAACATAATCCAACGCCTGAATAATCCTCAACCCCAGCTTCTTACCCTGCTGGCTCTTATCGACGGCAATATCCTCAATATGGCCAACAAGGCCCAACTCATGAATGAACTTGCGCTCAACAATCAAGCTGCCCGTACCCACGATCCGGTCCTCCCCATCACAAATAACAAGCAGGTAGTATTCGTCATTGCGCGACGAGATCCAGTCGTAGCGCTTGTTCCACTGCTCCTCGGTGATGGTGCCGACGGTCGTCAGCACGCGCAGCACATCCAAGTAGCCGCGGTTGTAGTCGGAGCGACGGACGGGGCGGATCTTGTAGCCTTCGGGCAGTTCGGCGGCCACGGAGGGGGAGATGAGGGTCGTGGGGAAGAGGGGGGCGTCGTCCTTGGAGGGTTCGGCGGAGGGTTGGGTGAGGGTGGAGGTGTTGGTCATGTTGGCGGTGGTTGGATTATTCGTCCGTCTTGGACTTTTTATTAGAAAGATAGAAGAAGAGGTTTTTGAGGGTGAAGAGGTTTGTTTGTTTGTTTGGTGGTTTGGTTAAGGGAGGGCCCCTGGGTAGTGGCGGGGTTCAATTGAGTGAGTGGTGAAAACGGAGGTGGATTGTTGAAACGCTGGAATGAAGGATTTCTTCAGCGAGTGTGAGTGTGTGTGTGTGTCTGAGCGAGAGACGGAGTTTCCAACGAAGGTGAGTATTTGAAAGGGATAAGGGATGAGAGTGAAGAGAGAAAAAAAAAAAAAAAGGACAGGTCAGTCGAGTCAGTCGGTCATGGAAAAGAAAGGGCCAGGCGGAGGTAATAAACAAGCAGTAAGAAAGGGCCCACGGTTTGCCTGAAACACCAAACACTTTGGAAGTCCGCCCCTGACGACTTACTACCTTACCTACTTTGTACCACTATTTACGGTTCTTTCCGACTGACATTGGTCAAGCTGATCTACCTTCAAAACCCTGATGGCGCAGCAACTTTACTACATATTTAGTGTTCCTAATTTAAACACCACTTGACCGGTTCTCAGCAATCCACCGCCAGTCGTTGCCATCCGTGCATCTTGAACTATTCGATCGGTGGGCGGGACCGCTCTGGTGGTCCAAAAATAGCACACCCGGGGTCAGCCCCGTCATCAGCCCCGATAAAAATCTATACTCCGTACAGCGAAGAGTTTCATAAATGCAATAAGTTGAACATGAGAATAGTACAGTAGTATTCCTGAGTATACAAATATCTCCTAGGCAAAAGCTAGTCTTCGCTAGATGACTCCTCCAAGCTAAGCCAAAACATATCTCTCCTCCTGCTATACATCTATTTCTTCTCCTTGGGGCTCAGCATCAGCTCGGGACGGACGTGCTTGTCAAAGTCCTCCTCGCTCAGAGCCTTCAGCTCCATAGCACTCTGCTTCAGAGTGAGGCCCTTCTTGTGGGCGTTCTTGGCGACCTTGGAGGCCATGTCGTAGCCAATTACGGGGTTGAGGCAGGTGACCAGCATCAGACTACACCACCGTTAGCTGTCTTCTTTACACGTATCTAAATTTGGAAGAAATACATACCTCTCGTGGAGAAGAGAGTTGATGCGGGGCTCGTTGGCCTCCAGACCGTGCACCAGGTTCTTCTCGAAGCTGGTCATACCATCGGCCAGGATGCGCACGCTGTGCAGCAGGTTGCGGATCATGAGGGGCTTGAACACGTTGAGCTCGAACTGACCGTTCATGCCACCGACGGTGGCAGCGACGTGGTTACCCATGACCTGGGAGCAGACCATGGTAAGGGACTCGCATTGGGTGGGGTTGACCTTGCCGGGCATGATGGAAGAACCGGGCTCGTTCTCGGGCAGGACGAGTTCACCGAGGCCGCAGCGGGGACCGGATCCAAGGTAACGGATATCCTGGGCAATCTTGAACAGAGAGCAGGCCAGAGTGTTCAGGGCACCGGAAGCCTCGACAATCGAGTCGTGGGCGGCCAGAACCTCGAACTTGTTGGGGGCAGTCTTGAACTCAGTGCCGGTCAACTTGGTGACCTCAGCAGCAATAGCCTCGTCGAAGCCCTTGAAGGTGTTCAGACCGGTACCGACGGCGGTACCACCCTGAGCCAAGTAGCGGAGGTGGGGGATGCTGGTCTCGACACGCTCAATGTTGCGGTCGAGCTGAGCGACGTAGCCGGAGAACTCCTGGCCGAGGGTGAGAGGGGTGGCGTCCTGCAGGTGAGTACGACCGATCTTGATGATCTTGTCGAACTTCTCAACCTTGACCTGGAGAGCATTGCGCAGGCTCCTCAGGGAAGGCAGGAGGGTGTTCTCCAGCTCCAGAACGGCAGCAATGTGCATGGCGGTGGGGAAAGAGTCGTTGGAGGAGGCGGACATGTTGACGTGGTCGTTGGGGTGGACGGGCTTCTTGGAGCCCTTCTCGCCGCCCAGGATCTCGATGGCGCGGTTGGAGATGACCTCGTTGGAGTTCATGTTGGACTGGGTACCGGAACCGGTCTGCCAGACGACGAGAGGGAAGTGGTCCATCAGCTTGCCCTCCGCAACCTCAGCGGCAGCCTGCTTGATGGCCTCACCGATCTTGGGGTCTATTTTCCAAATGTTAACTTCGCGGAAGCTGTGCTGCCTTGATCGATAGCGGCTTACCGAGGCCGAACTTCATGTTCACTTCAGCAGCAGCACCCTTGAGGATACCGAAAGCCTTGACAACGGGCTCGGGCATGCGGTCCTGGGGCTGGTTGATGTCGAAGTTGCCCAGGGAGCTATTGTCGCACCGGTCAGCGTCTGCTCACTCCTCTGCCGGTCGCATGTCCAGTTTCCAGTATGGCAGCGATTGTTGAGGTCGGGATCTTACCGCTGGGTCTGAGCACCCCAGTACTTGTCCGCGGGGACCTAGAACAGAGATCCGTTAGCATTTCCAGTCTATACGCATCGTCATCATGAGTGTAGCACATACCTGGATCTCACCGAAGGCATCGGTCTCAGTGCGGGTAGCCGAAGACTAAAACAATAACCGATTAGCAACGTCTCCCACTGGGAACAGTTCCCCATGGCGAAGTCGTCATCCGCACGATAGATGCGATTCGATAGAAAGGGTAGAGCATACCATCTTGACGGTGGTACCGAAAGCTCTCTTGCTGGAGGTAGAAGTCAAGGACTGGAGACGGGGGAATTGTTGAGCAGGTCGGCTATTGGAGCTCAGAAGACGACGGCAACTGAACGAGGCGGGGGTGAAAGCCACGGCAGTGCGGGCAACTGCGGGGGAAGCCGAAGCTCGAGATGCAGCATGTGTCAAGGAGGCCATCGAGCGCACCGCGGCTCGGGAAGTGTGGGCAGATGTCAACATGACGAGCGGCTTTTGGTTCTATTCATCATCACGCGCGTTAGTCAGTGTGGCTGACAAGGCCAATGGTGCCATTTTTGGGGAAACACAATTCAAATCCTGTTGTGGATATGTGCGGGGTGTTGGTCGTACAATTTCTCTCTAAAATAAACAGAATAAAGGGACAGATCTAATGATATTCCAATTCTACCCAAAACCTGGGGGACGGCAAACAAACCACGCAGAAAAGAAGGGAAGAAGAAGAGCAGCAGCAGCAGCCGCGCATATTTAATCCACCCCAACTGTTTCCGATACCGCCTGCCGAAATCTCCCGGCCCGGTAATGTTCAGGACGCCGGTTACCCGTCTGCCACACCTTCGCTGCCCAGCCTGAAATGTATCATACGGTAAGGATTCTCGTCGGATAAACCATGATCCTGCTGTCTCTCCGCATCTCCATCTTCTTGTCTATCTGTACTAGTACTGCACTCCATCTCCGATATCCCTTCAACCGAACCCAATTGATTATTTACGCTGTCAATTCCCGTTTCATCGCTTCAATGACCTTCTCAATGTATATACGGCCGCTCTCCATGATGCCATTCAACATGGCAAACGTGTGGGGAGCTCCTGCCATACGCATCATCTCCACTCGACAACCGGCAGCTTTCAATTTGGCAGCGTAACCCTCCCCTTCGTCCCGCAGAGGATCCATTTCGGCGGTGAAGACCAACGCAGGTGCTAGTCCAGAAAAGTCAGGCGCAAACATGGGGGAGATCTTCCAGTCCTATGGTCCACATCAGCAATTGGCAGTTGTGTGCAGCTCTGGCTGCAGCAATTACACGGGCACTACTCACCTCCTCTGAACGTGCTGGTCGAGGAACCCCCAAGAAGTGACGATGGAAATAAGCCATCCTTGCCACGGGAAGAGCTGCGGTGAACTCCATCTCTCTGTAGGATTCATAGGGACAGTTCTCCCGATCGAAGTCGCCATCCGGAGTGTAGCCGCTGTGTAGATCACATACGGGCACGTTCAGCACCTGCAGGCGCAACGGAATGCCGGCATTACGGCAGAGATGAGCGACCACGGCTGACAGGTGGCCTCCAGCCGAACAACCTCCAACAGCCATTCGATCCGGGTCAACATTGAACTCCTCTGCTTTCTGGGAGCGGATCTGCACGGGATGTCAGTTGGGCATTGGTCATACCGGTCAATGTAGGCAGTGAATTGTAGCTGACCCAATTGAAAGCGGCCCAGCAGTCGTCAACGGGGATCGGATACTTGTGCTCAGGAGCTAAACGGTAGTCGACATCAAAGACGACTAATTGCCCGTCCAGGCCATCGACGAGTGTCTTGCAGAAATCATGATCAACTGAGAGATCGCCAAACACCCAGCCTCCTCCATGAAAGTTGACATATGCAGCCCTCTTCTTGGCTTTGCCATGCTCATCCAATTTTGGGGCAGGCTCGAAGATACGAATGGTTATCTCACCCCCTTCCACAGGACATTCCTGTTCCGTGATGCGGAAAATATCAGGTCCTTGAGCACGACCGTAGACGATGGCATACTTGGCAGGGTTCTTGCGGAATTCCTCGATAGGAACCTCATGGGTATGTAGCCTCCCAGCATTGTATTTGTTGTAGTGTTCCACGTAGACCGGGTCGAACCGAGGTAGCAACTCCGACGGAATGCTGTTGTGAAGCGGTTGGAGAAGGACCCGGGGTCGTAGCTCTCTCAAAGTCTCTTCGTCATTAAGAGCAGGCATAGTGGTGTCAGTTTATTCAAGTGTATCCACGAGACAAGTTGATCTCCAGGCAATGGTCAGGGAGAGGTCGCTCTGACTATGTCCTCTAGTGAGGGACAGCTAACCCCTCACGACCCCTCATATGCTCGGCTCTCGATCCGTTATCATCAGGGAGTGGCTCGTCTGTGCAACCTTATTTCACGTGGAATGCAAGCATCAATTGATGCCATCCTCGTCTTTGAGTGTCGGACAACAGGGAATGACCACTATAATGCCTGGTCTTCTGAGGATGGCTTCAATCGTTCTCGCGGAATATCCGCTCGGTTACTTTCGGATCCGACAGGCGCTTTGAGGCACCAGACGATAGCCGGATGTAGCCGTCTACTATAGCTCCGTCGCTGTCCGTCAATCAATATGACAGTAGCGATTGATAGTCTAGTTGGTAGTTAGTAGATGGTTAGTAGGGTAGCATTGGTGGTCAATTATGGTCTCATTGACTACGTTGAATCGACTAACGGTCTATTCCACCCGGCAGCTGACTCGCATAGACAAAGCTAGTATGAATTCATCTGACATGGATCCTGCAGACAACAATTACGAACTGCGAGTGCGCTAAGCAATGTGAGGCAGAGACACGAAATCCGGCCCCTCGGAGTTGAAGGAGGATGACACGAGGAAGTGAGAGACAATAAATAATATATCCAACTTTGCTCCGTCAGTTACTGCTCCAGGCACAACGCAGGAAGGGTTGCATTCCCCAATGTCTGGTTCGACCCACCACTGCGCCTCCTCAGGAACCTTTCAACTAGACAGAATTTGCCGTCATCGCATTTGCCGCATTGTCAGTGGCAAGAAACAAAAGCAAATCTCTTCGATCGACGTAGGCAGTTTGGGGATCGGGGGAATTGAAGCAGCAGCGGGTATTTAGTTGTGACGCCAACCCGCACGGCTGGCGTCGCGATGGGCGATATCGGCCAATCCTCACGGCTTCAATTCTTCATCCACGCCCTGACTCATTGCTCACACTGATCCACCTCATTACTGAAAATAGCATACCCGTTCCTTTTCTTCTTTTCCCCCTCCCTCAGTAAATATCCGCTCCTCGTGTTGCATCGTGACTAGATCTTATTACGCCCTCCACCCTCTTTGAAATCTTTCCCTCCCTTGCTCCACCTTTTCGCACCGCCGCTTCTCTATCGGAAAATCTTACCGATTGCCCCTCCTCCACTTTATATACCTCTTCAGATCCTCTTCCTAAAATCTGAACTACTGGCTGCAATAACCTGAACCCTTTTTCAATTTCACTCCCACCACCACCACCACCACCACCATGACTGTCCTCAACCTGACTCCCCTACCGGCGGACGAGATCTTCGCCCTCAACCGCGAATACGCCAACGACACTTTCCCCGACAAAGTCAGTCTCGGTGTCGGTGTCTACCGCACTGACGATGGCAAGCCCTGGCCATTGCCCTCCGTCCGCAAGGCCGAGCAGCAATTGCTCGCCGAAGACAGCCCCTTCCGCCACGAATACACCGCGATTGAAGGCGACATCCCGTTCCTCGAGCTGGCTCGGGACCTGATGTTCGGCTTCGACTCCAAGAACCTTTGCGAGGAGCACAAGGCCCTGAAAGCCCGCATTGGCTCCGTCCAGTCCGTCGCCGGCACTGGCGCTAACCACCTGGGTGCTCTCTTCCTCGCTCACAAGATGAAGCCCAAGACCGTCTGGCTCTCCGACCCCTCCTGGGCCAACCACGTCACCATATGGGACCTCGTCGGCGTCCCCCGCAAGACCTACCCTTACTACAAGCCCGAGACCCGCTCCTTCGACTTCGAGGGCATGATGTCCACCCTTGAATCTGACGCCCAAGAAGGCGACGTGATCCTTCTGCACGCCTGCGCGCACAACCCCACCGGTCTCGACCCCTCCAAGGAGCAATGGAAGGCCATTGCCGAGATCTGCGAGCGCAAGAAGATCTTCCCCTTCTTCGACTCCGCCTACCAGGGTTTCGCCTCCGGATCCGCCGACGAGGACGCCTGGGCCGTGCGCTACTTTCTCAACGAGAAGCCTCATATGGAGATGTGCGTTGCGCAGTCTTTCTCCAAGAACTTCGGTCTCTACGGCCAGCGTGTCGGCGCTTTCCACTACGTCGTCGCAGAGGGTTCCCAGAACCTCCGCGATCTCGTCGTCAACAACCTCTGCCACTTCATCCGCGGCGAGTTCTCCATGGGTCCTACTGGCGGTTGCTCCATCGTCAAGAAGGTCTTGACCAACGATGCCCTCACCACGCAATGGCACGATGATCTCAAGGTCATGAGCTCCCGTATCAAGGCCATGCGCGCTGCTCTGTACGATGAGCTCGTCCGTCTCGACACCCCCGGAACCTGGAAGCACATCGTTGAGCAGGTACATACCAACCCCTCCTTCACCTTTCCCCAGTCTCACAAACATATACTAACAATCACATCCTTCTCTAGAACGGCATGTTCTCCTACACCGGCCTCACCCCTACCCAGGTCCAAGCCCTGAAGGAGAAGTACCACGTCTACCTCATTAAATCCGGCAGAGCTTCCATCAGCGGCTGTAAGCTTTCCCCCCCTACCCCACCCCCAATCTTAATCCCCACACGCACACCCACTAACTCTCTCCCCCCTCAACAGTGAGCCAGAAGAACGTCGCCTACGTCGCGAAGGCTTTTGACGACATTGTCCGCAACGTCAAATAAACGCACCAACCATACCAGTTGTTCGGGTAATTGATCATCTCTGCCCGAGGTACATACACTTTTCATAAGTGTTTCAACAAAGAAGAAGGGAAAAACTTTCTTTACAACAGATAGACTTACCTCACCTCACTTATCTACGAGGTTAACGTACGCCATGAATGATGGGATAACGTACTATATGCGAATGAGAGGATGACGATGATGTACAGATATTACATTTCGGGGCTTTTTTTTGTCGGTGTTATTTTATTGCATGCATCTAGCTAGCATCTAGACTTTATGCAATGATAGAGCTAGAGTTGATTGGGAATTGATGATACTTGTGCATGGTGCGACTTTTTTGTCTTGTATTTGCTGTACAAACTACTACTTAATTCTATTATGATAATTTCATTGATAGGGGATAGTGTGGGAAGGACAGCATACATGTTGTAGAGGCATAGGCATAATGAAGATACAATATAAAATATAGTATAATAAAATAAGAAAGAAACGTAACATACACCGGCCCTGTGACATCATCTTTCCGCCCGTGTTGAAGAAAAGAATATAATAAAATGAACTCGTGCGATAAAGGGTCGTGGTAGGGGTGGGGGAAGAGGGCTAATGTATCGGATATACACTCATGACGCTAGTCAACTTGAATCGTAGATGAAGAAATGAAAAAGAGGAAGAGGGGGAGGAGCAGGAGCGGTCGTCTACTATCGGGGGCACGTCATTACAGAGGGACTTCATTAAAGTCCCCTTCTCCTCCCTCCTTTGATTTGTGCTCTTTGGAATTTGATGAGTCGTCCTTCTCTTTCTCTTCCTCTTCTGGCTCTTGCGTGTCCTCTTCGGTCTTCTCTTCCTCGTCCTTACCCTCACCCTCGCTCTCGCTCTCGTCCTTCTCTGGCGGAGGTGGCGGTGTCTCATGATCGCCATTCTGCTCGGCAGCTTCATCCTCCTTCTCTTCATCCTTCGGAGGTGGAGGGGGCGGCGACTCTGTGCTCTCGTCCGATCCCACCTCCTTCTCTTCCGCGATGGGCTGGCCGGTCATCTCAGCTCCCGGGAACGGCGTAACCGGGGGCTCAAGGTTCTGCTCATCTTCCTGCCCCGTCTGCCGTGAAGGGGTCTGAGCCTGCGCAGCTGGGGGCGCCAGATTCGAGGTGGCGGTAGAAACCGTTCGTTGGTGCTGAGTAGAGCTGTGAATCGGGCCCAGCTGTCTTGCCTTGGGATCAGCATTCAGGTAATACCCACGGACACTGACAATAGTGCCCTCAGCCTCGCAAGCATCCACCCATTCCGGAACAACCACGGGGATGTTCATCTCAACGGCCTTCTCCCAGAGCGGACCCCTCCCCTCGGTACAGACAAAGTGGGTGGTATCAATGCGGACCGAGTCGATCAGCTTTCCACCGATGCGATCCAACGCAGCTGCAAGAGCATCCTTCTGTTGTGGGGGGAGGACGCCCGCCGTCACTGTAATACCGGAGAGATCTGTCATCTTGTGCGTGCGGCAGGTCAACTTCTCCGACTGGTAAGTGCCGGCGGTAGTGCGCAGGACGAGGTGGAAGGTGTATTCGGTGTGAATGGCTAGACCGCTAATCTTGGTGCTTCGCGTCTCAAGCGGACGGGGAATGGACCCGGCTTTGGAGCCATTGCGATACAGGGAGAGTGACTTCAGGGACGCGGTGGCTAGGTCAATAGGGTCCCATTCCAGGACGAGGGAAGTTTGGGTTGCGTTGCGGAGACGGAGAACCGGGGGTGTGGGGGTCTTGATGCCATAGGTATTGAGGATACGTTTTTGGAGCGACTGGAAGTTTGCGGCACTGGCGGATTCGGCTGCGTGGTTGCGCGCGACGGTGATGTCGACGATACTACCGGACGTGATGTTGCTGGGGAGAAGGACGGAGGGGAATTCGATCTGGGGCGGGTTAGTTGAGTGTCAGGGCTACTCGAAGCGCAAAGTGGATTATTTGGAAGAGATATTGAGCAGGCTCGTGCGTCAATCGCTCGCTGTAAGTGCGTGGGTATGGAATTAAACTCACCAGTCTGTTGTCCTGGGTCAAGAGTACGGCGACTCCTGCGTCTACCTTGCCGACTGTCAAGGAGACCAGCATATTGGGAACAGGTAGCGGATATCAGGGATGGCGCATCAAAGAGAAAACAAATCCGTGACGTCTGGCAACGTCGATTCGTGAGTAGGTGGCCTGGGATCGTGAAAGGGAAGGAAGAGTTGATCGCAAGAGAGGAAAGCGAGGTTGTTGTTGTCTTCTTCAGGCTGAATGAAGATCGGCCGGTAGCGACAGGCGCCAAGGAGGCTCGGCCGCGTGGTCTCTGGCCCGCGATAACTACATGGATGCTTCTTCATTCCATCCAAAGAACTATCCCGTGATAATGGGATATGGGAATTTAACAATTTTCCCATTCTCCCTTCTCGTTCATCTTATCTTTGTTGAGAATATTATGCATGAATGACAGGAAATCGCTGCATGTCTTGCGTGGCACATCGCAAGGGGGCTAAGTATATTTCCCGTCTGCTCATCCACTGATGTTGTACATATATACAATGACGGACCCGAACCGGTGTCCAGAACTAACCTACAGTAGTAGGATGAAGGAGAAGTCGGCCAAGGCTATAACGATGTCTCATTCCCTTTATCATCACGAGCATCCACTGCCTTCTTTTGCTTTTTGGCCGGCTTAGGAGCTGCATCTTTCGTCGTCTTTAAATGATTTATCAAAGCACTCACTCCAGCATCCATTTCCTTTCGCAATACCTCAAAAGGCTCCCGCAAAATATCCGCATGAAGCAATAGGTCAACACGCCCCTTCAGATTCTTTCCATCCCCCCCTTTCCCATTAGAGTCACCTAGCAGTTCCTGCCCTGCTTTTCGACCGTCCGCATCAAATCCATGGTCTTTCAACGCTAGCCGGAATGCCATCCGGGCTCGTCGGCTACACCACGACCGAACCACACGCTTCATCCTCACGGACATCAGATGCGATGGATTTACCATCCACCAGAGTGTGCTCTTGTCGCGGGTGGCATACATGTGTGTGATTTTAGGCTGGAGAGGGTGGACATCTGCGTTTAAGTACCGGGAGGCGACATGGGACGGTTTGTAGTTTGGAAAGTATCGCATTATGAACGATTTGTGACTCCTTAGTGTCTTCATGATGGATGTGTGTTGGAGGCCTCGGAGGCAAGTCAATTGACTCCGTATATAGTACAATAATGATAGAATAGATGGTAGCACGCTAGCTGGATGCTTGGTATATTAGCACTAAGTAGTATGATGCGCCTATCGCCGGATCGGAACAGAAAAAGGCCAGCTCTTCCAGCAGCGAGCGATATGTATCTATCTCAACATATTGTAAGCAACGGAACTGATAAACAAATCACAAGAAGTGGAATACGAACCAAGAATGAGCGCATTCAATTCTCTAGCGAGCCAAAAAGTTATCCCAGCATTCGGGGATGCTTCGGCGGTCCCCTGATTCTGCCACCGGGCGGTGGTTTCATGACGACAATGATTGGCGAACCCCTTGTGGCAAGCCTCAGGCGCAAATCAGGCCGCCACGCCACCCACCCACCATGGATGACATAAGCCAACGAAAAGCCTCGCAAAACATGAAGCGCCGGCCTCTCGCTTGCCTCCGCCTTCCTCGTCTTTCCCCCCACTTCCACTCTTCTGGTCCTCAGGGACATCTATTTAAATCTCCCCTTAGCCGGACATCTCCTATCGCATCGAGTGAAAGACCACCGCGGTTAGCGAGATCCCAATATGCCCAAGAACAAGGGAAAGGTGAGTTCGTGCTGCATCCCACCCGGGTACCCCGCCTTACAGATTTTCGCTTTGTTTTACGCTTGACTCTGGTGCCCACCTCATGCCACCATATCCCACCTCAACGACACATTTCCAGCCAGGAAGATGTGGGATATGGAAGGCATAGAGGCTGCCATATTCAGAGAGCATCGGAGAACGAAGCGAAACTGCGCCACACGTCTATACACATGTCTAGGACTGTTTTTTGCTAACGTATCTGCAACCAAACAGGGCGGTAAGAACCGTCGTCGTGGAAAGAACGAGAACGACAACGAGAAGCGTGAGCTCGTCTTCAAGGAAGAAGGTCAGGAGTATGCGCAGGTCGTGAAGATGCTTGGTAACGGCCGTCTCGAGGCACTTTGCTTCGATGGCGAGAAGCGTCTCGCTCACATCCGTGGCAAGCTCCGCAAGAAGGTCTGGATCAACCAGGGTGACATTATCCTTCTCTCGCTGCGTGACTACCAAGACGAAAAGGGCGACGTCATCATGAAGTACACCGCCGATGAGGCCAGAAGTCTCAAGGCCTACGGCGAGTTGCCCGAACACGCCAAGATCAACGAGACCGACACCTACGGCCACGAGGGCTTCGAGGACAACGTCGAGTTCGACGAGGACCGCGAGAGCGAAGACGAGAAGGAGATCGATGTCGACGAGCTCTAAATGTCCCTTTCAGGGGCACGATCTCATATCCCTGCCGGAGCGACTGGGTTCGGTTCTTTTTTTTTCTCGACTCGTCAAAACTCTTGTTTTCTTCAAAAAACCTTCATGGGAAGAATCTCCCCCGAGTATTCTTCCGAAAAAGAAAGCTGTTACTTGCTTTGAACGGAAAGAAATCGGACGGCTTGTGCATGCTGTGTGTGTGTGCTAGTCGAGATTTTCCCGTGAAGGTATCTCGAGTAAAGGAATCAGGGCGGCAGCACCTCCCGGCTCCGCATAGGCGCGTTCTGCCTTTGCTGCGCCCGGTGCGGCTCCGTGTAATCCGGGGTATGGATCAGTAACAGGGGTTATGCCGGGGAATGTTCTTTATGATGCTGGATCATCGGTTTTCTGGACATATTCGTGTTCCATCATGAGGGTGTTCTCGGGTTAGCTACAGAAGGATGGCTTACTGCTTACAAGAAGGCTGCACGGTCTGGCGTGTGAGCGATTCTTGTGTTTGCTCCCTGTTTTTTATTCGCTATTCCTTTTCATTACGCTTCTTCGTTTTCGACAAAACTGGATGATAGATTTATGAAAGGGTCACGAATATGAATATACGACCAACCTATTCTCCTTTGTAGAAATATAGTAGACTAATGTAATTACCTTCTCGTAGTACTCGCCAACTTTGAGCATATATGCAACCATCACTTCAACTCTCAAACACACTTTTACGAAAGAACCCCACTATCTTCCGAGCCGTTTCTATCCCAACCAACGGATCCAACTGCTCCACGCTCATATTCGCAACCTCATGAATATTCTCCGTCTCGACAATCAACCGCTCAAGGACATTAGGATTAACACCCGGGACCGCCCGGAGCATATCTTGAGGCAAGAGATTAAAGACCCGATGCTCGATCCCCGCCGCAGCCATAATATCGCCGGAGTGCGATGACGCCGCAATATCCATATCTAGCCCAGTCTGAACAGCCCGAATCGGATCCGGCTCCGGGTTGTTCTTCTTCAGCTCGGCGAAGATCTCTGCTGTTTGGTAGGGGGAAGAAGACCAGATGATCTTGAGCCGGGGGAAAGTGAGGGTTAGGAGAACGAGTAAGTGCTGGGCGGATTTGGGGCTAGATGGGTTGACGAGGGAGCTGTTTGCGGATAGGGTGCTTGTGCCAGAGGAGGAGAAACCGAAGTCGGTGAGGAAGGTTGTGCCGGGGGTGGTTGCGGAGGCGAAGGCGTCGAAGGTGAAGGATTTGTTTTGATCGAATTCGATCAGAAGAAGGGGGTTCTTGTAGTGTTGGAGCATGGTTTCTGCTTGGTTGTAGAGACGGCCGTTTCGTAAGGAGGATATCAGGTCGCGGACTGATTTGCGTTCTACGCAGATGTCGGGCGTGAGGATGTAGTCGCCCACTGTGAGTTGGCAGGGGACGACGATCATGTTGTTGCCATGTAGGAGGGATGGAAGGGCGCTTCTGAACTCGCGTACATCTATCACGACTCGGGGTGGTGATGCTGTTGCGGCTAGTCGGCCGCCTCCTGCAATACGGGTGTTCACGGTGCGAAGGAACTGTTCTTGAGGGTCTACTTGACTCTTGTCATGTGTGATGGTGACGGCCATGTTCTGTTGTCTTGGGTTAGTGGAAGGAGGGAGGCAAAGGAAAGGCGTCTTACGCTTTTCTCTTTGATGAGCTTCGTGAACGAGTCTTTCTCTCGCCGTACGGCGCTCAAGTAGCGCTGTTCTTCAACAGATCCCCCGTAGTAGATGAAATAAACGCGTACATCCCGCCCAACATGAGAGCTGCGGTAGACCTCGACTCGTCGAATGAATGCAGGATCTGGCTCGTACATGATGATGTACCGAGGCCGAACCTCCTCCAGAATATGCTCATCCATATCACCGTCGTAAGGGTGTATGATAACCAAGTAATCCATATCGTATAATTCGTAGTAATCGTCCATGTCTTCCAGATCATCGATGATAACCTCCTCTTTTTGGGTCTCTTCGACTTCAGTAGGCTGAATCTCGTCTAGGAGTGCCGACACCTGGGCCGGAGGTTCAATATCTACTTGGATACCGCTGTTGGGCGCGCGTGCTGGGACGGATGGAGTGCCTCCTCCTCGGACTCGGCGCCGCTTGTTCATTGGGGCTCTTCCTTGATTCAGAGAACCAGGTGAATTCACCGCAGGCGACTGGGAACCGTCACCCGCGGGGTTTGACGAAAAGTTCTTGCTAACATTAGACAAGGATAACTTCCAGTCCATATAATCCCGCAGCCTTCGGCGCATCATGACTTCAGCGGAGCCCTTCTTCTCGTGGATGGCATCACCTGAATCCAATGTATCCCTTGTCCCCTGCTTCTTACTACTCACGTTGGCATGCATCGTGCCCATGTACTCGCGAAGTTGCCGACAGGTCCGTTGGTCACTGCACATGATCAAGACAGTACTGTTGGACTCGTCCACCTTGACTGGATTGAGATATGCGTCCGTTTCAATTTCTTGCAGGACCTCCGCTACGACTTCCCATTTTGGCTGTTCTTCCAGAACGGGCTGGAGTGTGGTAGGTAAAGACGTGGATGATGAGCGAACTACATCGTTGCTGATTCGCCCCTGATATACTCTTGATCTCGCGGTCTGGAAAAGCACATCGGCTGCGTCGAGGAACAGCCATGGTGAATAGCTATGTTTCGTGGACCCAGGAGGCGGAGTATGTGCTGTGACAATCGTATCAAGATATTTGAGGAACGAGACGGCGTCATAGGTGAGCAAAGCACTAAGATTCAGGTCAATTCATGAAGCACAGCATATATATGGGTGGTCGCACTGGAGAATTGCCCGAAGGTCTGATAAGTCACTGACAATCTGTCTGGTCCGGAAGCTCACACGGTGCCATATGGGATCCAGTTGGCGCCTAATTGCAATATCGAAAGACCTGTGTAAAGCACTGTCGAGTGTCCAGTCTGCCATGTCAAGTCCTGTGTTGGCTTTCTTTAGCTCTCCTATGCAAATCTCCACGCACTCAAGGACGGCGTTTTGTATCTCGCGCATCTTGTCACTCATGGGAACTTCTAGTTCGATCACCTCCGCTTTTCTATGGCCCTCGAGAGCCTCCGCAACGGTGACATGGAAGCGTGGCCATAACGAGGTCTTGCGAAGGAAGAGGTTGCGCAGGGAATTCGCCAAAGGAGCAAATCCAGTCGTGAATGGTTCCGGGGAGTCGGAGAAGGCCTTTAAGAATCCACGTTTGTTGTGCTCTCGATATGCCCGGATAATGAAGGCTTCAATAGACGTTGCCACAATCCTGGCTGTTCTTAGTATGTCATCTTTAGAAGCACAGATATGGTTGCTTACTTATCAGCATGAAGCACGACCATGCCAGTGACCTTCTCAGGGTCGAGCAGCTCTAGACAGCGGGTTAGGAGGGTCCACCGTCGCAAAACAGCAGTAGGGTCGTCACTAACTCGACAGAAAGTCAACTATTAGTATCCTGGATGTTACACTCAGGATACCACCTTCGGAATAGATCTTCTCGCTGGACTGGCATTAGCATAGAAGGTCATGAATGATGCATGAGGACATACCGCATCGGAACCGTGGCCCTGTCCGTATTGATCACCTTGAGCCCCCTGGCAAGAGGGGTTTTGCTGATAGCATAGTGCTCAGCCAATGCTGACAGAGATCAGCATCATTATGCTTCAACATAATCCACCAGTAAACTGTCCGAGTCGCAGCAACGTACCTTCTCCAATCCATTCATTTTCGCGGTCATCTGCGCCAACAACAAGCACCAAATTGTTCCCTGCAGCATCATAAAAATGTAGCAAATTCGTCACCAGGCGTAAGAGGCCAAGGCCCCGAGCAAGAATCACCAACTCATCCTCCGAGCGCAGTTCGGTGAAGATGTCCTGCTGGTATTGCTGGAATTGATTCTGTCAGCAATTCCCATAGATGTCTTGCAATGAGCACACAATGTAGAACTGTAAAGTACTCACCAAGGGCAAGGACAGCTTCACCGGTACATTGGGGCGTTCAGGTGGCATGAGGAGCCTCTTGACGCGAAGAAGTCATCTTCCTTCGCGATGAGAGCGACCAAAGCGAGCGCGTGATCACGTGGGGTATGATGTAATGACGCTTTACTGGAGCACCAGCAGCAACCACTACTGCGTGGAACATTTTACGAAGAGAACAGACTATATTTATATAATTTCACGGTAAGTGTGGTCAGCACTGAATGGGGTGTTGAAGTTGTGGCTTTCCACGTCCATGTGTGGTAATAATCGTACAGGCTTAGAGGAATATCTATCTTCGGGCGAGGAGGACTACTATGAAGACCGGAGTACAAGTATACTGACATGATTTACATAGCATTGCTTCATAAAAGTACAGCGACCTTACACCACCACTGGCTTGTGAGATCTGTTGTCCTACTTATTCAGTTCCTTCATACGTGCCTCGATCTCTTCCCTGGGGACTTTGGGTGGCATGCCTATATACTAATTTAGTAAACCGCCATAATGTGGAGGGATGGTGGGGATAAAAGCACAACGCTGACTTACTGTCGGGGATTTGAGGACCCTTAGACAAATGATCAAGCATGGTGGCTTTCTGGGTTCCCTGATCGGAGTTCCTCTGCTCTTGGTTTGGAGCGCTGTTGTCGCTGTTGCCTTGTTGGGGTGGGAAATCAGAACCTGAGGGGATGACAGGCATAGTGATGAGTTAACTAGTCAATAGTCGTAGGTGGTGAGTATGGGAGGAAGAAACAGTAAAATTATGCAGCTGATAAGAAGAGTGAAGGCGAGTGATAGCAGCGAGGATAGTGATCGGGGAAGGTAAGCTTTCTATATTCTTAAGTAGTTCTTTTGAGTTGCAGCACATGCGATGACGTCGGTTGGGCTGGAAGTACCACCATAACACTAGTATAGTACTAGTAGTAAGACGCGCGCCATTGAGGCAATGCAGTCATTTTCTTCATTCACATGGTTGGTGGTGATCCAGTAAGATCAACTAATAAGATGCTGTCAAAGCGATTCCCTTGGATCTTGCATGTCTGCCTAATCCAGGAATGCCATCATGGTTATTATATGGGTCGCAGGCAGACACCCTTGTTGGTCGTTGGATGATGCTGCACGAGACCATTGTGGTATTGGGAAGTTGCAAGGCATTCTGGTTTGAAAAAGTACGATCCTTGAATCAATCAATTTCGCATGTTCTAGTGCTTCAGATCATTACCAATACTTGGAACAATCACTTATAACTCGGGGGACTGTCAGAGGATAGTGCTGAGTGAGCGCCAGCTGCTTCCAGAGACGTCGGGATCCCCACTGCGGCATTAGTGGACTTTAGTGGCTCTCCGTCGCTCTCTCCCGCCAACGCTCCTCTTCCGGCTACTTGACCTCTTCTCCCTCCTCCCCTCCTCCAAGCCAAACTTGCTCGGCCACCAATCCTACACTCTTACGGCCTTTCTGTTCTAGATAGAGCCTAACTTGTATTCGTTCCTTTCTTTCGCGTCCCTAGGGTTGCCCTCCAGTCACCCATCTACCCCACAAACCCTGGGAATTCCGAACAACCCCCCCCTTTGTCTCAGACACATCCGTTGTTGCCGCGCCGTATCAGCTCTTATCCGTGCCTCAGGAGCAACCACCCTCTGGTACTTCGGGCTCACCAAGTTACACCAGACACCCTGCAATGCGCCTCCAGCAGGCGATCTAATTACTTCTACCTCACCGGCCATAACCCCCAAGCTACTAACACAGTGTCTTCGCGAGTCGATCCATCGTCATGCCTTCAATCCTGAATGATAACGACAAGGAAACAGTCAGGAGAACTGTACCAAAGCCTGACAACAAAATTCTAGCGGTGGCCGTTGCGCGCCTCTACGTGGCTCACCCAGACACCCAGAGATGGACGTACACTGGTCTGCAGGGAGCTGCAGTCCTAGCAAATGACCTGGTCGGCCGTACTTTTTGGCTGAAGTTGGTGGACGTATCGGTGAGTACAGTCTGGTAAACCATGCACTGTGGCAGTTACTGACAAAAGACATCGTGCCGTGCCTTAGCCTGCCAATAGGGGAGTCATTTGGGACCAAGAGATCTACGACAACTTCGCGTACAACCAAGATCGCACGTTCTTCCACTCCTTCGAACTAGAAGACTGTCCCGCCGGACTGTCGTTCGCCGACGAGAAAGAGGCTAAGACATTCATAAAGAAAGTACAGGAACGAGAAAAGCATGCGAGCAAAGAGACACGGCAGACGCCCTTCGCATCTACCCGAGGCCAGGGCCCTGCTCCGGTGGTGAACGGCAAATCCGGGGTTGGACGGTCGCTGTTTGGCAGCTTGCTCGGCCATCGCTCATCATCAGGATCTCATGTACCCCCACCGGTGACACCTGCGGAACTGCCTCCTGCTCCATCAATCCAAGTTGCTCCTCCACCTCCACCTTCAGCCAGCCCATCACGCAAGGAACTGCCGTTCGACACCAATGACCCCGCATTCAAGGGCGTACTGGACGAGCTCCTACAAATGGGCATTACGGAAGACTTGATCGCGGAGAACTTCGATTTCATCAAGTCCTATATCGAACAGAAACAAGCATCAACGCCCAGCCCGCCTTCTGCCGATGATCAAAGGAAAGGCAAAGCGCCGCCTCCACCTCCCCCGCCTGCGCCGCCTGCTCCCAAGGTGGCTGCCATCAGCCCACAGAACACTGGCAACAGCACAGGGAGTCGACGAGGTGCTCCGCCGCCCCCTCCCCCGACGCGGAGGACTCGAATGGATACGACGGATGACGAGCCTGCCTCGAAACGTGAACCGTCTCCTCCCAGGAATCGGTTTCGTGCGCCGCCTCCGATTGCAGATGCTGGTAAATTTGCTCACACACCACTGCCGCCTACTCGCCAACGGGCCTCGTCGAATGCCACACCCGGTCCTCCACCTCCTCCACGGCCTCCAAAGACTCCAATGGATGAGAACCAGTCCCGCTTTGGCGTTCCCCCACCGTTCCAGGGCGAGCGCAAAGTGTCTGCTCCTCCCGCACCTCCCGGTCGGCCAGGGCCTTCAGGGCCACCCCCTCCCCCTCCACGCACTATGAGCCCTGCAGCACCTCCACAGCTACCTCCCAAAGTTCCCAATGCCTCTGCAGCAGGGCCTCCACCTCCGCCGCCCAGAAGTCCTTTGCAGCCGCCGCCCCCATCTGTGCCTTCCGCTTCTCGGCCTATTCCTCCTCCGCCTACGTCAAGCGTGCCGCCTCCTGTACCCCCGCCTCCTACGTGCCCTCCGCCACATACCAGCTCGGTCCCACCTCCACCCCCTCCACCCCCTCCGCATACGCCAATAATGTCAATCCCACCACCTCCTCCTCCACCGCCAGGAGGTGGTGCTCCTCCTCCCCCGCCGCCCCCACCGCCAGGAGGTGGTGCTCCTCCTCCCCCGCCGCCCCCACCTCCTGGAGCTGGTGCGCCTCCGCCGCCGCCTCCTCCAGGTGGAGCTGCTCCCTTACCCAAACCCGAAGGTGGTAGGAATGACCTCATGGCTGCTATCCGAGCATCTGGAGGAAAGGGCGGCGGTGGCCTGCGGAAGGTCAAGGATACCGAGAAGCGTGACCGGAGTGGAGCCCTCGTGCCTGGCTCAGCCAGCGAATCGTCTGCGCCGACCCCAAGTGGTGGTGCTGCTGCTCAAGGAGGCCTGGCAGGTGCTTTGCAAGACGCTCTGGCGAAGAGAAAGCAGAAGGTCAGCGGTAGCGGTAAGTAGACACACCCGAATGGTCAGTAATACGCGTACTAATGTGGACTATAGATGACGAAAAGGAGGACGATGACGATTGGTGAGCCTTGCTTGAAGGTACTCTCTCATTTTTCCTAAAATCAATGTTGTTGTCGTGGCTTAGACTTGTTGGATTTCGTGTGATACCTCCGTCGTGCAGCCTCTATATCCTTTCCTGTTCTTAGCATATATTCCCATCCGGTGCGTGGAGGTGAATGTCTGGTTTTTCTTTCTAGTCAGCATTTCCTGCAGGTGATCAAAAGTATGCACTGGAGATTGGAGCTGTCTGACAGCGGATCCAATTCCCTAGTCTCATGAATGGAAACACAATGCTTGTCTATTTGGGAACTTGGGCCTCAGACGGTAGTAGGTCATTATTACAAGATGAGTATTCTCATTGATATGGACATTCCCTCGTGTAGCCCACCCTACCGACAGAAATTAACAAGAGGCGATCGACATCCTAGTATTGACTACACTCATTCTCATGGCTCTAGACCTGATCACTTGCTCTGGTACCTTGCTAATGCAATGCCTAGTGGGGCATCCCTGCGGCTCAAAGAAAGTAACCAATGGTTCGGGCTTTTGGCATTTCCGATCTGGTGCCAAAGTGGGGCCTTCTAGAAAGACCAAGCTCAATTAGGTAAGCTTCATGTGAACAATTATCGAAATGGTGACTTTGTAGATTCGGCACGTAGTCCACCGCCGTCGTGTATCTTACAGCAAGTGGATCGGGGAATATATGCTTCAGTTAACGAGGGAATGATAGTTACATCTTCGTAGCGATACTGGCTGTGAAACGTGAGGATGGAAGAGTAACTTCGTGCTCAGTAGTCATGCCCTGTGTGAATCCACTCGAATGAGTCCCGCAAAGTAAAGGGTCTTTGACCAGTCATTGATATTTGCAACTAGAAATCGCAAGCTTTTCTGAGAGTTTTACGAGAAGAGCTTTGTCATATCTGATATGAGCTCTGCCGATCATCCTTGTGAGGATGTATACGGCTTCACCATCCTATAGACAAAGATTATCTGTTGGACTTGAAGCTGTGCGTAACACAGTAATGTATTGCTGGCAAAGTAGTATACTCAAAGCCAGACACAGTAATTATCATATATTTAACCAAGATATAATAATGAAAGAACCATTGGAAAAGCGAGGGAATATACTGTTGAGTCCGGACCATCCAGCGCTGCCGGATTATAGTTGGTCCGAGCGGCGCAACTTGGATGCGGGAAAAAAGATGGGCGATGATATGGTTTGTTTTGCATCCAGATGAGTGCTGGTCGTCATTCTGGTCGGTGAAGCCATAGTACAAGGCAGAGATGCTGTCTCCGTCGTCTATGAAGCCTTCCGCTCCATCAGCATCTCTTCTCCGGTTTCTGCGATCACAATCCGATTCCTTTTTCTTCACAGCCAACCCAACTACTTGCGGACGATCTCTCAATAATGATCCTCAGTCTCATCATCAGCATCACGCCTTCTCGCTAAGCAAGACGTCAGACTGGACAAGTATAAACCCTGCACCATGCCGTGCGAGCCTAGAGTCATGCCTTTTACCCTTACCAGGCCTTTCGTCTAGAACTCGCGGTGCTGTACGATGTCGGGCGTCGCTGGCTCAACGCTCTTCACCGAGTCCGTTTTCCCTCCCTAATGCGCACTTTTCACGCGCTTCGTCCACCAAGAGCAAGAGCTTGTGGCGTAGGCTCTTCGACTTCAAGCGAAACAAAGCTGCCGAATCCAAATCATATCTCCGCCAGCCACCTGCATTGATCAATGACGGAACAGAAGGAAGCTTCAACATTGGCCGCGGATTAGTGGCAAAGGCATCTAATGAGCCGCGCCTTCGATGTACCGAGTTCGACAGCACTGGAAATGTTACTCTTGTGAATGGCGAATTCAAGAAGAGCGAGCTGATTGCCAAGGTCAGTATTGGCGGCTCTGCGAATTGTATCATAACTCAAGAAGCGACACAAGACTGATATCAAGAATAGTATGGTCTCCTACCTCGGGACTTGCGAAAAATCGACTCGTCTACACTGCCTCACATCCTAGTGCGACCGCGTGCCATTCTTATCAACCTCCTACACCTTCGAGTCTTGATCAAGGCTGATCGCGTTCTCGTTTTCGATGCGTACGGATCCACGGACTCATACATGCAATCGCTATTTGTGTATGATCTCGAAGGAAAGCTACAACAGAAACAAGGACAGACTACGGGAGCATTGCCTTACGAATTCCGAGCGCTGGAAGCGGTCTTGATCAGTGTCACAAGTGGCCTGGAGGAGGAATTCAATGGTGTTAGAGATCCGGTCGTGAGCGTGCTCAGAGCTCTGGAAGAGGACATCGACCGCGACAAGCTCCGACATCTGCTTATATACTCCAAGAAGCTCGGCACGTTCGAACAAAAGGCTCGCCTCGTGCGTGATGCGATCGACGACCTGCTGGAGGCAGACGACGACTTGGCCGCAATGTATCTTACTGAGAATTCGCAGGGTGTCCGACGCGAGGAACACGAACATCAAGAAGTCGAGATGCTACTGGAGTCGTACCACAAAGTTTGCGACGAAATTGTGCAGGCCAGCGGCAACTTGGTGACCGGAATTCGCAATACCGAGGAAGTGTAAGTCATCCTTAGTGTCTCAGGTGCTTGCTCTGTAACTGGATACTGACCTAATCACAGCGTTAAAGCAATCCTGGACGCCAATCGCAACTCCCTCATGCTTCTCGACCTCAAATTCAGCATTGGAACTCTCGGACTCGCAACCGGAACCCTGTTCTCCGCACTTTACGGCATGAACTTGAAGAACTTCATCGAAGAATCAGACTTGGGCTTTGGCGCTGTGTCCGTCACATGCTTTGCCATTACAATCGTTGTTTGTGCTTATGGGCTCGCCAAACTGCGCAAGCTTCAGCGTGTCCGCATGTGGGGCGAATCCGGCGTCGGCGGCGCATCCATGGTCTCTCTGCCTACAAGAGGTGGTGCGCTCGCCAGCCACCGGCCAAATTGGCGCGCGGATACCGTTGAGCCTGTCTGGGGCAGTCTCCCCGGTGAAGGACGCGTGGAGAGGATCAAGCGCATTAAAGACAATGCCGCTGCAGCTGCAGCCCGATCTGCAACCCTGAAGGCTGCTAATGTGCCCCCAACGTCGTCTGGAGATGCTACCAAGCAGTCAGAGAGTTTTTAAATCACATCTTTATGCACCGAACAAACAAGTGGGAGCTCACAGAGCATGGCCGCTGTCACAATTGACCCACACTCTGCTCTACCCCGTCCAGTCCTGTCCTGACCATCATCCATGGTGTGGTTCCATGGCTCAGGCAGAATTCTCCCGGAAGTTGAGCACGAAGTTTAATCCGCTAGAGCTTATAGATTCGCATGGCAGGAGTTCGGCTTGCGGATTGAGTTTTGATATTGTCTTATTTTTGGGACTATGTTTTTTTCAGCTAGTACCTGTCCTTCGCTTCATGGGAGGGTCTGTATCTAGCTTGGTATACATACCACACTCAACTCACTCATGGGTTTCTCTATTTTTCATGGGAGCTAAATGTGCTCTGTAATGTGTCTATAGACGATAGATGTCGAACCAGACACCGACAATGTTACATACATATGTACATTCACAACAATCAACATTATCATCTTCATGTCCTTTCTCTTCCATGTACATACACAAAATCTCATTTTAATGTGCTTTTTCTAAGTAACAGTTTACGGGGTATCTCATCTCCAAACCTCCTCTCTATATTTTTCACAACACAACAAGCATATTCAATGCCCACCCTGCTTCCCCATCCCAGACCCCTTATTCAACCCCTTCGCCCTCTCAATCCAGATCTTCCCAGCAGCCTCAACGCCTCCCTCACGCGAACATTCCCTCCGTACAGCATCCATAACCCGCTCCAAGACCTCCACTCCATTAACATCGCCATCACCACCATCACCATCACCAGCAGCAGACCCACTCGCCCTCTCCTTCCACACCTTCGTCGTCCGCCTCCTGCCCCCAATAACAGCCATATTTCTCGTACTCGGAATGCGCAACAGGGTCCTCTCAACCTCGTACCCGATTTCCTCCGCCACACTCATCGTCTTCGCAGTCAACGATCCATACATGGACTTAAGGAACCCTGCTTCCGTAGTCTGCGCATCTTGTTTCTCCTTCCGGAGGGATTTGAGGTCTCCTGATGCTGGATTGCCCTCTTCTTCTTCTTTTTCTTCCCCTCCTTTATTTTCCTCGTCTGATTTATCCTTCTTGCCCGCCTTAGGAGGCGGATACCGGAACCTCGCACCAGAAAGTGAATGCGAGCAGCACGGGATAGCAATAAAAGGGGACGGCGACTCGGGACAAAGAAGCGTAGCCATGAGGGGCGTCCAGACCGTGAGTTCGTCTGCGTGGTTGGAGATAATGAATGTGTCTTTCGGGAAAGACCCCGTATGGGATTTTATCGTCAGCTCTTGGAGCAGAGAAGGGTTCGTTTCGGAGAATGGTTTGGGGATGTAAATTTCCTCTGTGAGTCGTGATTGCACGGATTCTGGGAATATACTCCATGTTTTGCGTCGGCGGGCGTCGAAGCCAAAGCCTTTGTAGCCTTCCATGAGGAGGACGTACACGAGGACGCCGTTGCCGCAGGCTACGTCGACGAAGCCGGGGAAGGTAGATGGGGAGGTGGAGGAGGTTTGCTCATCTGCTGGGACAGCACCGTACATGCTCCTCCAAAGTTCGATGAGGAATGCGGTGATTGAGAGGTCCTCGAAGACGTGCTTGGAGGGTTCGGTGCTCTCGACCCAGTTTTGACACAGCTCGGCGGCGTATTTTGCTTTCAGACGTGTGTACGTGTTTTGCACCAGGTGCTGCGGGATCACGTTGTCTTTGGCTGGGTTTTGGCTGCCGCCGCCACCGTTGTCTGCTTTGCCGGTTAGACGGGTGCCGCGGGCGAGGCGGATTTGGATGGTCAGGAGGGCTTGTAGGGTGCGCTCTAGACGGTTTTGGATGGGTTCGTCGGGGAAGAGGAGGAAGTGGATGGACATGGTGCCGGGGTTGGGGGCGGGGTCTGATGTGTTGGTGTTGTAGTCGTATAGGAAGGCTAGGGAACGGAGGAGAGGGTGGTAGAAGGGCATGTCTTCTTTGGAGGTGATGTGGGGGGTGTAGACAGCGAGGTATCGGTTGATAGATCCCTCGTTGGTGTCTGTGGACTCGTTGATGTGTTCGTAGAAGTGACATGTTTGGTCCATGACTCTGTCTAGGTTCGGGTTTCTGGGGATGAGTCTCCTCACTACCGTTCTGGTAAGAGAGAAATCCGGGATTTCTCTTGCGGTCATGGGTTCCACGTGCTCTTCGGTGGTCTCTATACTGCTGTTCCCATTCTGAGCGAAGGACTGCTCTTTCTGCTGCGGTGTCCGCAGTGAACCCCAGCTGTCGAAGAGGATGTCTGCCCGGTATAGATGGGTAGAGCTCATGTTCGGGTTGGCCAGGAGAAAGAGGGTCATATCTTGGATAACTTCTGGCTTGAATGGGAGGCCATACTCAGCCAGATCCTGAGATGTGACCCATTCTTCGGTGCTGCTTGCCAGTACTGAAGAGGGTTCGAGAGTCTCAGCAAGTGGTTTGCCGGAGAGACGGGTCAAGTCTCGCGGATTCTTTCTTTTGTTTCCAGTCATTGTCTTGGAGTTGAGGGGTATATATGGCTATGTATGATGTGACTGGTTGTGTCGGAAATAATGCTCCTTGACACAGATGCAGATGACTGGCTCTATATCCACTCTAGTAGAAGTGTGTCTTCTTTACAAGAGATCGATATTCATCTTGAAGAATTCTGCCATTGGTCTCCGATTAGTCAGTGGATTCAATGCGGGGGAAATGGCAGAGACCTTGTATATTTTACTGTGAAGTGCTCTTGTATAGGTGCTGATGTGTAAATTGCCTCTAGTACATGCAATTTCAGACACCAACAGATGCCCCTCAGTGGTATACTTTTTGATGTCGAATTCCCCTCCATAGCGTGCACATATAATATTAGTCATCGAATACTATGCATCATGTGACAATTCTTTGTGCCCATGCCATCTACTATACGTATCTCCACGCAGCATTGCTTTTGAGATAACGTAGATAGCTACTACCCTGTCGCCAAAGGGGACTGATAAAGGAAGACGACCCTGTCGCGCTAAAATAGAGGGTTATCTTCAATTCTGGCCTATCTCCATCCTTTCATTGACGCCTCGCATGTTTAGGCAGATTATGCAGTAGGCAACAGAACCAATGAACTGACTATTGTACTATCAATGCAGCCTAATTATGAAAGCTGACCAACTCAGACTAATTCTAACTAATAACTAGTTAGTTGGTTTGAAGGAGCCTATTGCTAGTTAGTTAAAATTTAGGGGCCCTTGCTGACTTGATGTTAGTGGACAGGTAACGCGCCGTTCCTCACGGGGATTGAGAGCTTTGCATCTACACCCGCTCATCTTTGCTTTTTTTATTCTCCGGTCGCCTTTTTTCTGGCTCCTCGTGTCTGCATGTACTATGTAGGTACGGTATGCATAGTTTCGCAACCGCCGATTGAGTTATTGATAAGTTAGCCCTTGGGATGTTCTGCAGCGCCGAAAATCGTCGTATGGGCGGCCGAAGGAGGCCCGGAAGTGCAGGCATCAGTTTGCCTTTCACGTAGTTACATCCGCTGAGTCAGTGGGCAGCCGCTGTTTGCATCGAGGCTCCACTTTGCGCTTTTCTTGCCATCCCGGCTTCCGCATATTATTTGTCTCTTAGACCTTTCTCGAATTGATTGCTTTTATTTGCTTTCTTCTTGATACGGAATCGATGGATGCAGGTTGCGGACGCCTTTGTTGCCCCCCACTCCTCCCAATTCTACCTGGTCGCTTGCCTCGCCATGGGTCTGATTGACGTCCTGCCCGCTCTCAATGTCCGAATGTGAAGCTAGTTCGGACTTACGGAGATATTCCACGCACTCCGTTAGGTGGGCCGAAATGGACCTACTATCCCGAAAGTTGCTACCATGTGTCTCCGTACTGTGCTTGCTAAGCAGCACATCAACCTTGCTTAGCATACCCCGTGTCGAAAATCCTGCTCCTCGAGTGGGTGAGCATCGTGCAGAGACCGACGATCATCACGGCCTTTATGTCTTGCGGGGCCTCGACGGAGATTGACATGACCATGACGTTTACAAAGTATATGCTCGCACTAATTGACTAGACTTCAGGTAGTGGGCACTGCCTATCAGGCTACAAAGTACTATTGCTATCTTACGATTGCCTTCGCCTATATTAATCCATATGCACGAAGGATCCGGATGACAGTATAAGATTTTCATCAATGCTTTTTACTTGGGGACATCCACAAATCTGGGTATGCCATTGTCCCCTGGATGAACAGGCTTTCATCAAATTAGATCTGTGATGACCAATTCTGACACGGCAGTTCTTGAGACTGGTGGGTTCAAAAACGCTAAATGTTTGATGTTACCTCGCACATGTTTCCCATGTTGCTCGTGTTCAAACCCGCAGAGAACGTGACACACGAGGGCCGATCGCCGCAAAAGGAAAGTTCCCAGAGATGAACAGGAGAATAGCAGACCACGCGTGTCAACACGCACCACCGCACTAACCGCTTGCTACATTAGCTTGTTCTCAACGAACCATTGCTTTAGCCCCTATGCTCCCGAGGCAATGCGCGCAGTAGCGGCATAACGACTAATATATCGGCCATTTCTAAGGGGCCGACGGAGAAAGATGCTAGATCAGTAGGCGACCAACCGTCAGAGACTGGACGTGCGCGACTCCGATATATTGTAGGCTATGACTGGCGTATTCTTGGCGATAACAAACTACACAAACTACAACAAGAACTGAGCAGTTTGGATACTCGGACATCTTAGACCCTTGGAAGCTTTAGCATGACTCCGCACAAGAATGGGGCCATCCGGCGCCCACTTGACTGTACCGTGAACAGTACAGTAATGTTCGCGATGCGCCTGGCTGGATCTCCGCCACTGAGCCAAGATCACAGATGCAAGGTTGAATGAAACTGCCCCCGCGTACAGCCTCGGGAATGCCGAGTGGCTGTTTCCGGTCAAATTTTCAAGATGAGGGGGCTGTGGCTACCTACATGGTTACATCTGTCGCGGGTAGGCCCCATAGGTGCTTCTCCTCTTGACCCTTCTGATCTTG